CACTTTTTTCCCCCTCTCTTTTTTACAACAACATTTACACATTTTGGGTTTTATTACTCCCATAGTTCTTATTACTTTTGGGGGGGGAGAGAATAAAACCAAATATGACAAAACAAAGCAGTCAGTCAAAACAAAGGACGGACATAGGACATGATGTAAAAACAGAATACAAGGTAATCGACAATGGTTACCATAATGCCTCTTGCTACCTTAAAAAGAATTGCCTATATCAGTAGGTATAATAAAATTGAACAAAACAGTATAGAACAAGACCAATAAAATCTAGACATTGGAGACATTACAGAACTTCAAAAGAAGATAATAGTCAAACCAGAATAGGCATCATCATGAATCTTATTGCCTTCAAAGTAGTTGCCTATACCCTCAAATTTGATACTGTCAAGCCAAACAGAACAGAGTAAAATCAGTCAAAACAAGATGGTGGGAGCAATACAAGGCTTCAAGTCAAGTTAATAGGAAATCAAAAAAGTTACTACAATATATCCTGCTTTTAAAATTTTTTCCCTTCATTAAAAAATTAATAATAAAAAAATAAATAATTTTTTTTTAAAAAGGGGGAGATTGAGATAAAAGAGGACATAACAACATAACAATACAGGTCAAAGCATAACAATTTCAGCAACCTAGTGCTTCACCACGAGATAACCCGACTTAATAGTAGCTACCATAGTGTCTCTTTCCTTGAAATATTTGAGTATAACTTCATATACTATGGCTTCAAACATATCAAGGCAGTGTGAAATCATCCAAGAGGATGAAAGTATTACAGGGTATTTAGAATCAGCTAACGGAAGATGAACAATGGTTTTTATATTATCTCTTTGCCTATAAAAATTTTTGTTTATATTATTACATATAATACAATCCAGTAAGATACAGGATAAAACCAATGGAGACAGAAGAGCAACAGTTTGGTGGGACTTCAAAACAAGATGATATTAAATCAGCACTAGCTATTATGATGTCTTGTTTTCTTCAAAATAGCTATTCATATCATCACAGGCAATAATATCAAACATCCCAGAATAAAGCCATTCCAATTAATGAGTGAAAACTTTATAAGGCTTCAAAGCCACCTAATGGGGAATCATGATTACCACATACTTTTATATATTTGAATCATTTCTTACACTAGGGAAACTATTCGGTATTCATACATGTGAGTTTGATTTATTTCACTTATGAGTATGGTCTCAAGCTGTGTCCATTTATTATAAATATCTCAATCATTCTTTATAGCTGAGTAGTACTCCATTGTATAAAAATACCACAACTTTTTTATCCATTCCTCAGCTGATGGACAGTTAAGTTGTTTCCAAGATCTGGCTATTACAAATTGTGCTGCTATACACATTGGTGCACATATACCACTGTGGTATGATGCTTTCAGTTCTTCTGAGAATATGCCTAGAAGTGGGATAGCTGGAATAAATGGGACTTCCAATCCCAGCTTTGCTTGTGATAGATTAGTCACCTTCTGGGTGGCAGCTCAGAGTGCCATAAGAAGAGTCTGAAGATGCCATTTGAGAGCCTCCTTACTTTGATCTGTGTTGGGGTCCCAGTTGAGGTGGGTCAAAGGGAAAACAGTATCGAGCCTCATTAGATCTAAAGTGGGTTCCCCATTAGTGCTGAGGACAGATCAGCATGCCAAAGTGTGAATTTGCTTGCATTCGTCAGTTGTGAAAAGAGTCAGCAAAAGCTGCTGGCAGTCATCCCAAGTCAGCCAATGGATGAGAGTGTCGAGTCCTGACCATTAGACCACTTGATCAGGGTGCATGGCTGGCTTATGAGCAGGTCCAAAAATGACTTAATGGACCTGTTGAGAGACTTGTAAATTAAAAGTTCCCTGGGAAGGCCATCCACACCAAAAGAAGGCCATTGGAGTTCACAGGAAGTTCTCAGTCTTTTAGGGTAGACAGGATCTCCATATTCAGCAGCTCAATCCCTAAAATCCTTAAAATGATTAAGAACGAGTTGCAAGGGTGACGAAGGGGAGGAAGCTGTTTGGCCCACAAGAGCAGACCTGCGAGAAGAGGGGTTCAGAGAAGCGAACAAAGACAAGATGGCAGAAGCTTGCCACACAGACAAAGAACTATCCAAAAAGCTGTCACAGCTGGAGCAGGTTCTCGACTTTGCAACCAGGAGCTGGTTAAAATTACCAGGTGTCCACTTTCCTGCTTGCTAATCATAGAATTGTCCCAGGAATTTAAAATAACCAATTTGCTAGCTGCAGTCTAGCCTAGGAAGAGCACACTTTTCAATTGAGTAACCCAAATAGCCCCACAAAAAAAATCATCTAATTTAGTTAACTCAAGCTAATCAGCTGACATAAAAAAAAAACCTCTAAAAAATGTCTTACATATTAGGTTCAGCTCAAATTGCAAGAATTCTCAGTAATGGATGAATCGGGGACAGAACAAGAAGATGAAGGTATAGAAAAGCTAAGACAAGATTTTGGCAATGCCTCGCCCAAATGGGAGCAAGCCTGGAAACTTGACTCCCCAAGTCATAGAAAGGAGAAAGATCTCGGGGCAAAATGAAAGTAATAAGTACTTGCCTGTAGAAGGAAGCTGCATTTTTGAATGCAGATCCTGATGTCATCCGAAGAGTAGGAGCCCAGGGCAGTAAATCCTGTAAAAGGTGGAATCCAGGATGGAGGAGCCCCCAAATGATATTGGCAGAAAAATGAGAGATTCCAAAAAATTTTAAAAAGCATTTTATTAGCTGAGCTCAGTGGCAACAGTGTCCCAGAAAAGCAGCCAGGAAAGTGTGTGCCAGAGCCAGGGGCTGCAGGGAGCTATAAAGTAGTAAGTTGCAAGGGAAAGGGTCAGGGTCTTAGGATGAGTTTGTCCCCATAAAAGATAATTTGTTTAGTTTTACAGGAACCAAGAAGGCAGAACAAGCAGTTACAGGAATCAGGGAGGCAGGGAGGGGGTTACATGGTGGATATTTACAAGGTTGCAATTTAACTGGCAATTACACAACTTTTACAGAAAGAGAACAAGTTATAATAAGCACAGCACACTGTGGGTTTTTGAGCTTATAACAATATAGAACTCCAAAGAACCATAACCAAAGTAAACCTACACCCAGTCATATAACAATCAAGATCCCAGAAATTCAGCACAAGAACAGAATATTAAATGCTGTTAGAGCTGTTCTGACTTGCTTTGCTATGTCCTCTTTTATCTCTTTAGAGAAAAGAAACAGATCACCTATAAAGGAAAACTCATCAGAATCACAACAGACTTCTCAACAAAAACCATCAAGTTCAAGAAGAGCTTGGAGTGAAGTATTTCAAGTCCTGAAAGAAAACAAACCCAGACTGGTGTATCCTGTAAAACTATATTTCAAAATTGATGGAAAATAAAATACTTCCATGACAAAGTACAACTGAAGGAACTCATGACCACCAAACCAACCCTGCAAAGAGTACTGAAAGGAATTCAAGAGAGAGAGAGAGAGAGAGAGAGAGAGAGAGAGAGAGAGAGAGAGAGAGAAATGATCATAGTCCCAGGAATAACAGCAAAGTAGGATCACTGAGTAGGACAGACAATTGAATGGAGCGGGGAAGTAAGGAGCCAATGGCAGGACAAAAACAAGGCAGAGATGAACCAGTGCACGTTGGCTATAACCATTAGTGTATACGGCCTCAATTCACCAATAAAAAGAAATATGGCCAGAGTAAATCAAGAAACAAGATCTATCAATATGTGGCATCCAAGAAACACATTATCTTAAAAGAAAATTCAGATTGAAAGTCAAAGGAGAATACGATGGTTCATGAGGCAGGGCCAGAAAAAAGCAGGGGTAGGTTATCCAACAACTGCAGAATGATTAAGATATGCAATTTTTATACAATGGAAATCTACTCAGTTATAAAGAAGCATAATCATAAGGCTCTTGTAGATAATGGATGCAACTTGTGATCATGTTCTTGGGTGAAGTGGTTTGGACTCACATGGGTGAACATCATGTTGTGTCGCTAGAGTAAAAAACTAAAGGATTTAGTGGGATCCAAAATGTACAGTAGAACTCCTGGGAGAACATGGCGGAGAGATAGCAGCAGCTACAGAGTCTCTCTGAAAGACCCAGCTTAGAATTCAGGAATGGTGCGGAGTAAGGAATCATAAGCAAGTGGAGATATGCCCTGCTGACCCCAGAACGAACTGGGCTGAGCGAAACCAACTGGGAATGCAATCCTGGTGCTATAACAGGAACAGAAAAGCCTCAGTGTGGAAGCTGGAGCCCGTGCCATTGGAAGCCACGATTTGGGTTTCCCTGCCGCTGCTGCATCTACATCAGCTCGGCAGGGAGAGAGATGCGCGGAAGCTCTGAGAATGGGAATCGGTGAACGGAGTTGAAAGCAGGATGGGTGGGGAGCTGTGCATTGACCTGCAGTGAGAGAAACCGGGACTCTTCCATGGTCTAGGAGACTCCAACAGAGAACATTCTGGGACCGGGCAGACTTGCGGGAATAGGGCGCTGCGGTGACTTCAGTTACGTATCCCCCTCTCAAGTGGGATTGGTGAGCAGTGCCTAGCCTATGTGACGCTGCTGGCTGAGACCCAGTAGGCTAGGACAACCCAGGTCCCAGCACCTGAAGGTAGATTAACCTGGAGGGGTGGGCCCGGCATAGGCTGCCTGGTCTGCAACTTCCTGGTGCGCTAGGGGGGGTGGGAACACATAGCCTGCACAATTCAATCAGACTGTGGCCAACAGGGAAGGAAGCTGGGCCTCTAATATACGCTTGCATATATAAAGAATAAAGAATATGGGAAGAGGCAGCAACAAGAAAGGGTCCTTGGCCCCCAATCCTGAGAAAGAGGCAATAGCAGACACAGCATCAATAGATATAAAGCGCTATCTCCAGAGCCTCATAGACAAGTTCAGGAATGAAGTTATTAATGACCTGAAGCTAGACATAAGCAGAATAGTTAGAGAAATGCTAAGCACCACCCAAGAAAAAACAGATGGTGGTGCTTGCTTCGGCAGCACATATACTAAAATTGGAACAATACAGAGAAGATTAGCATGGCCCCTGCGATAAAACAGATGGTGGAATGGAAGAACAGAAAAAGAGGGGAGAATTGTTTGATGGAGAAAATAGAGAAAGCATAGCATATGTGAAGCAGGTTCAAAGAGATTACTAGGAAACTAAAAACTCTATCGAAAACTGGCATAACAACTTGAAAGAAACTAAGGACAGATGATCTGAACTGGAGGGCAGATTTGTAATATGGGAGCATGAAATGAAAAACTTCTTAAAAATAACAAAGAAACAAACAGCAACAATACAAAGACTAGAAGATGATGAGAGGATCTATAACTTAAGAATTAAGAACATAAAAGAAGAAGTAGTTCAAACAAATGAACTACAAAAGCTACTCACAGAAATAATCCTGGAGAATTTTCCTAATTTAGCAAAAGGTAAAGATACTCAGTTGTATGAAGCATGCAGGAGCCCAGCCACCTACAACCCAAACAGAGCAACACCCAGGCATATAATAATTAAAATTCCAGAAATCCAATACAAGAACAGAATATTAAAAGCCGTCAGAGACAAGAAACAGATCACTTACAAGGGAACACCCATCAGAATTACAGCAAATTTCTCAGCACAAACCATGAAATCATGAAGAGCGTGGGGGGAAATAATTCAAGCTTTGAAGGATAATAATCTCCAGCCAAGATTGATATATCCTGCACAACTATCCCTGGAAATTGAGGGAAAAACAAGGTGCTTCCAGGATAAACAGGAACTAGGGGAATTTGCAACCACAAATTCAACTCTACAGAGAATACTGCAGGATATTCTAGAAAAGAAAAATATGAAGAATCCAGAAATAGTGGCAGAGAGGCCACAATGAATGGAGCAGAAAACAAAATGAAGAAGACAAACTGACAACTAATGACAGAAAAAGAGCTCAACAGAAATGAGGCAGAGAAGATTGGATGATAGGAACATCTATTTTGGAGAAAATGATGTCTTAATAGGTAATACTGATTTAGTATCATCTTGTTTTGAAGTCTCATCAAGCTTTTGTTCTTCTGTCTCCATTGGTCTTAACAGGTTGTATCTTACTGGATTTTATTATATATGACAGTATAAGCAAAAACTTTTATAGACAAGGAGATTATACAGAAATCATTGTTCATTTTCTGTTAGTTGATTCTAAATACCCTGTAATGCTGTCATTCTCTTAAATGGTTTTACATTGTTTTGATATATTTGATGCTACAGTATATGAAGTTATACTCAAAGATTTCAAGGAAAGAGACAATATGGCAACTACTTTTGTGTCGGGATTATCTTGTGGTGAAACACTATTTTGCTTTAATGGTTATGTTTTGATCTGCGCTGTTTTGCTGTTATGCCCTCTTTTATCTCAATCTCCATTTTATTATTTACTTTTTATTTTTATCCTTTTAATTAAGGGAAAAATAAATAAAAATAGCAGGATATATTATAGTAACACACTTTGACTTTCCATTATCTTGATTTAAAGCCCTGTATTGCTCTCACCATCTTGTTTTGACTGATGTTCCTCTATTCTGTTTTGCTTGATAGTACCAGGTTCAAAAGTTTAAGCAACAGCTGTGAAGATAGTGAGATTCATTATGATGCCCATTCTGGTTGACTATTATCTACTTTTGAAAACCTATAATGTCTCCAATGTTTTGGTTTTGTCGGTTTTGTTCTTTACTGTTTTGTTCAATTTTATTATAACTGATGATATAGGCAATTCTATTAGAGATAGTGGGAGGCATTATGGTAACCATTGTTGATCACCTTGTATTATGCTTTTACATTACTTATTATGTCCACCCTTTTGATTTGACTGACTCTGTTCTGTTATGTCACATTTGGTTCTACTCTCTTCCAAAAAAGTAATAAGAACTGTGGGAGCAATAAAACCCAGAATGTGTAATTGTCATTGTACAAAAGAAAGGAAAAAAAAGTGCTCTAAATGATATAACTGCGTGTATATTTAAGTGTATTAGATAATGATATTACTGAGTTTCGTTGGATCATTGAACAGAACTGTTTGCAGTCTCACTATTTGAATGTCCACTTTATATGCTTTAATTTTGTAACTTGAACAACTATTTCTAAGATGACAATATGTAATCCATTAACTACTGATTTCCTACTGTTTATTTTTTTCTGTAAATCTGTATAACTTGTACCCTTTCTCTGCTTTTTTTCTTTTTCTCCTTAAATAAAATTAAAAAATAAAATAAAATAAAACAAATGCACAGTAGATATTGTGAAAGTAAAAGGGGAAGAAATATCTAAAAAGGAAGGTGGCAGCCACTGTCAATTTCCTATTATTTTGTTTTAAAGTCCTATATCATTTTCATTGTTTTGCTTTGATTGGTCTTATTCTGTTTTGTTTGGCCTGATTTTATTATATCTGATAGCATGGGCAACTATTTTGAAGATAACAAGATATATTATGGTAGTCATTATTAATTTCCTTTTATCTTCTTTTGAAATCCTGTATCATTTTCACTATTTTGTTTTAATTGGTTTTATTTTGTTATTTTATTTGATTTTATTAGGTCTGATGGTATAGGCAGTTATTTTGAATACAACAGGAGGCATTATGGCAACCATTGTTGATTTCCTATTATCTTATTTTGAAGTCACTTTTGTGTCACTTTCATTGTTTTGATTGGCTTTATTCTGTTTTGTTTGGTTTTATTCTCTTAAAAGTAAAAAAATCTGTGTTAAAATTTGGTTATAAGAGAAAGATGCTATTATGAATGAGCAGCACAAGAAATGTCCTATGATCCCATAATCCAGTGCTCATAGCTGTGGAGTTCATCCAGGCACTGGGAGACATAAGTCTCGTTTAATGAAAAAAAAAAAAAAAACAAGTAAAATATCTGATTTTTCCTCTAGTTCCCTTGCATATATATAGTAGTTCCCTTATCCATGGGGATTATTGTTCCAAGATCCCGATGCATGCTTGAAACCAGAGATAGTATTGATCCATAAGTACATAATTTTTCTTTATACAGACAAATCTATGATAAATGTTAATTTATAAATTAGGCCCAGTAAGAGATTAACCACAAAATAACGAAATACAATATTTATAGTGTAATAAAACATTAATCCTCTGTTCTTTTTGGTTTCCTTTTTTTTTTTTTTTTTTTGAGACAAAGTCTCAAAGCCTTGAACTCACTATGTAGCCAAGGCTGGCCTCAAACTCACGCACTCCTCCTGCCTCAGCCTCCCAAGTGCTGGGATTACAGGTGTGCATCACCATGCCCAGCAATTCTCTGTCTTACTGGACTGTACTTGCCTTTTTTCTGATGACCTGACATGATATGGATGCCTATGTGATGAGATGGAGTGAGGTGTGATGTTGGCTCCACAATACAGTGTAAGGTGAGTTCATGAGGGTTACTTGAACACAGCAATACAATACCAGCTGACCTGAGGTACTCAATGGGAAGAGGGGGGACTCCTGTCTCACATGAATGGAGCATGACACAAGATTTCATCGTGCTATTCAGCATCCCATGTAATTTAAAATTCAGGAATTGTTTATTTCTATAATTTTCCCCTTACTGAGCTATCTCCTTTTCCCTTCAGTTGGCTCTAGGCAATGAAAATAGGGATTAATAAGTACTGATGTGTAATCTTTGAAGCCAGACAATAGCAGCTGTTTGCTCACCTCAGTGTCTCCCTAAATGGCTGAGCCTGGCAGAGTGCAGAGCCAAATCTGGAGGCTGCCAGCTGGATCAGAGCCTTCACACAAGAGGCTGTGACTTCCCCGGAAAGAGGTTTGCACATCAGAACTGAAGGCTGCTGCCTCAACACTAAACACTACCTTGTTTGCTATGCAGATTGGTCTTTCAGCACATCCTTCTCCCTGCATAATTCAGAGGTGCTCTCTAGCTAGCTCAGCTCACAGTAATCATGCACTTCCTTCCAGTCTCAGTCACTCATCCCCCAGCCACTCCCATCTTTATGAATTAATAAAATTCATAAATTCATGAATTAATAAAATTTCCCCTTAATATCTTTGAACCACAGTTGAACACAATGAACTGAAACCACAGAATATGGAATCATGGATAAGAAGCAACAACTGTATTTAATTTTACCAGAAGACAGAGGTGAGGTTTTGGGTAAGGCCCATGAATCTTCATCTGGGCTGGGCTCAGGACCCCTTGGCTGCCCATAACTATAAATATGTCTCCGTGTCTTTATCCTCACCATGGGTTCCACTGGAGATGGTAGATTGGAATTGACTCACTAAAATTCCAGTAACTTTTCCACCTGATTATAAATACAAACTTCCCAGGCTGTGACAAGGAGGCGGAAAAGGGATTTCTATATATTGTGTCAATTTGAGAACTGAGAAGTTTAGAAGCTTAACTAAGCAATTCAGCAGGGAGCCAGGGTTTTCACTTGGTAAACATCCTGAGCCTGTGCAGAGGAGAGGCAGGGAGATGGTGCTGGGAGTGAGTCTGCATAAATAAATGGGTGCAACTTGAGATCATACTCACAAGCAAAATAAATCAAACTCACATGTATAAATACTGTATAGTCTCCCTAGTGTAAGAAATGATAAGAGTACGTAAGATTTTATGGTAATCATGATTCCCCATTACATTGCTTTGAAGCCTTATAATGTTTTCATTCATTAGTTGGAATGGTTTTATTCTGTTTAGTTTGATTTTATTGTGTGTGTGATGGTATGAACAGCTAGTTTGAAGAAAACAAAATATTATGGCAGCCATTGCTGATTTAATATCATCTTGCTTTGAAGTCCTACCATGTTTCTGTTCTCTTGTTTCCATTGGTTCTATCATGTTGTATCTTATTGGATTTTAGTATGTGTGATAATACAAACAAATTTTCTATGGAAAATGAAATAATATAGTAGCCATTGTTCATTTTCTGTTATTTGGTTCTGAATGCCCTGTAATACTTTCCTTCTCTTGAATGGTTTTATACTAATTTGCTATGTTTGATAGTCTTGTATGTGAAGGTATGCTCAACTATTTCAAAGAAAGAGACATTATGGTAGCTACTGTTAATATTGGGTTGTGTTGCAAGTGCTGTGTTGCTCACATTGTTCTGTTCTGATCTACTTTGTTCTGACCTCTTTTGTCTTAATCTCTTTAAAATTAAAATATATATATACCAAAAATGAAAAAACAATGTAAGGGAGGAAAAGCGGTTTGCCCCCTCCCTTCTGCTTTCCTTGATTGCTTTTCTGCCTTCTGCTGCCTTGAGCTGCTGCCCTTCCCCATGCAATCCTGCCTTGGAACCAGTGATTACAGAGTGAAGCCTCCACAAAATGTGAGCTGAATAAACCTTTCCTCCTTTGACCTGGGTGCTGGGTATTTTGTCTCAGCAGCAAGAGAAAAGTAACCAAGACAGCTATGCTCTTCCACCATAATGTTCGTGTCTTACAGCCAGCACACCCTTTACTGAACCCCTGGAAGAGTTAGCTATGAAACCTCTCCTTTAAATTGTGGATGTCTGGGTATTTTGTCTCAGCAACCAGAAAACTAACACACCTAACTAGGGTGTTCTTGTGAAATTTTCAGACAATGGAAGTCACAACTAGAGCTCTTGCCCTTCACCCATGCCTTTAGGAGAGCAAAAGACAAGAATGTAACAAATGTCTTTATCATCTCCCATTCTGAAGATCACACAAGGGCCTTGTGCATTCACTGCAAGGGATCTACCACTGCTCTGTACCTCCAAGCCCTTACATTACTTTTAGGAACATGATGGGTCATGATTCTCAGAAGGATTTCTAGGTAGGATTATGGGCCATAAATTTCAAATTAAATTCAACCTGTTCTAGTGACAGGATGTCTTAGTTTCTTTTTCTTTCATTGTTGAGACAAAATACCTGATAACTGAAATTAAGGAAGAAAAGTTTTATTAGGCTTACAGTTTGTGGAGGTTTCTGTCCATAATCAGCTGGTTGCAAGGCAGACAGGCATTGCAGAAGACCAACTGTTTATGGCAGCCAGAAGACAAGCAAAGGTAACAATAGTAAAAGGGGAAGAGAGCAGAGAGAATATCTATCCCTTATATTGTGTGTAGGCTAGCCACCCTAGGGTGGGTGTAGCACTCACACCCACAGTCTAATTGACCATCAGTAACAAATTCTAGAAGCCTATCTCCATGACTGCATGAGACTTCAGGGGGACATATATGTTATAAGCTCAAAAACCCAAAATGTGCTGTACTTATTATAACTTGTCCTTTTCCTGTAAAACTTGTAATTGCCAGTTAAGTTGCAACCTTGTAACATACCCACCATGTAACCCCCTCCCAGCCTCCCTGGTTTCTGTAACTGCTTGCCTGCTTCCCTGGTTCCTTTTATGGGGACAAACTGATCCTAAGACCCTGACCTCTCCCCTTGTGGCTTGCTACTTTATAACTTCCTGTAGCCCCTGGCTCTGTCCCATACTTCCCTGGCTGTTTTTCTGGGACAGTGTTGTCACTGAGCTCAGCTAATAAAGTGCTTTTTAAAATTTTTTGGAGTCTGTCATTTTCTGCCCATATCAATACAGACATAAATCATAGCACAAGATACTTACAGAAGTGGTGCTTAATATTGTATTTAGAACCTTTGCATGAGGCACAGGAGAAAAACCAAATCAAGATCTGTCAACATGTACCAGTTGATGCCTATACCTCTAGCTAAGGGAGATCACAGGCAATTGGGTAGAAAACATAAAGTCAAAACAAAACAAAAAAAAAAAAACAAAAAACATAAAGTCCCTGAGTGATTTAACCATTTAAAACCTGGGATTAAGGCAAAGGGAGAACAAAATGGGGTATAGTCAACCTCTCTAAATCTTTAAAATTCATAGACCACAGTACAGTGGTATTTCTCTGGGAGAATGCTACCTATCCAGGACAAAAATCCTTGTCATGGCACTGCCTTTCACTATATAAGCCCTTAAAATCCTTTTAAAATTTTCTTTATCCGCTTGCCTCAGTTTCCCAAGGACAGAGAAATTCTTAAATTCTTCGACAGAGATGTTTATGTTTTCTTCTTTCGAACCCTCAAAAGAAAGGGAATTAAGGAAGGAATTAATTTTCCTATACGTTAGAATTTTGAGAAAACTTTTAGGAGGATTAGAGTCCTTGTAAGTTCATGGATATGCCTGTTCCATTTCTCAGCATGTGTTAAGCTATATAAACTTCAACTTGAGGAAGTTCTGTCTTTGTGACCTTTTCCCAGGAGAGCTAATCACTACACCTCGGAATACCTGCTGTCTCTTCTCCCCACTCCTCAGACAGGGGCTGTTTCCAGAGAGCCCCCGGTGCTGTCCTGGTCCCATCCCAGCTCTTGCTGAACGTCCACTGCCCTGTTGGTGCACATGTCTTCCCCTTGTTCTTTTCCACCAAATGAGTGCTCTTAGCTCTCTTTTCAAAGTAAGCATTGCTAAGTGACTCTTTTTTCCCATTCAGGAAGGCATAGAAACTGAGGTCTCAGGAACACAGCACCTCCAAACCCTGGTTTCAGAGAGCACCTGCTAAAGGTGTGGTTCGCTTTCTTGCAGTTGTATTAGGCATTAATGATGAATGAGAAAAGAAATAGAACATCCACATTCTTCCTTCTCAGTCTAAAGCCACATGAGGGCACAGACAAGGCTGTACTGGAGACATAGGGACACTTTATTTGCATCATCACAGGAAGGAGGCAGCCAGAGTACTTTCAGGCTTTGCATCTCTAGCACAAGTGATCAGCTTTCCCCAGCAGTGCACTTTCATTCCCAGGACAGAAAGTACACATTGCCCTGTGTGTCTCCCACAGCGAGCCGCAGGGTGGAGTCAGGGCCCTGCCAGGGCTGCAGGCAGCTCACTGCCCCTTCACATCGGAACAGGCCCAGCTGAAACAGGAACAGAAATGGGGGACAATAGGGGAGGTGAGGGCCAGCTACATGCCCAGGGGCTCCTTCATAACTTTTTTTTTCACTCAAATAAATGCCTTTTATTTAGAAGCAGGTATGTCACTGCAAAAGGAACTAAAGAAAATGGAACTTTGATCTTGTGCTTTTTCTTGTCCAAATACGTTCTCTGGTAACTCCCCCCAGCCCCTTCTTGCCTTTGGGACCCACCTGCTCACACACCCACATACCCCCCACACTTACCAGCTGCATACTGGGTCTTGCCCACAGCTTAACATCTCTGTCCTTTGATCCTGTCACCAGCAACTCAGGCAGCACATGGAGGGCTGTGACAGAGTCTGAGTGAATCTGAGGGAGGAGGATGGTGTCATGCTGATGCTCAGGGAAGAAGAGCTGAAGTCTGCTGTGTCAGCGCACAGCCTCCTCCCTACCTGTGACCCTCCTTCACACTCACCTTTCTACACTGCTGCATCTTTAGCCCCATTCTCGGCCAGTTGGCCATGCTGGCATCTGATGCGTCTGTCCCTGAAGCCTGGTCTTCAGGTTCTTTTGTCTGCCACATGTTACCTGTGGTCCATCCTCCTTCAGGGCTGCATCCAGCCAGGGTCCACAGCACTCCATCGGAGCTGGCACACAGGAACGAGCACTCTGCCATTGTCAGGGCAGAGTTAGAACCAAGATCTACCCACTTCCCCTAGGGCATCTCGGGGCCCCTCAGGCCTTCCCATGCCACTCACCAGATTCAGGTTTGGCCTGAGTCAATACTGAGGACCCGCTAGGGTTCTCTAAATCTATATAAAACTCCAATCTCTCTTCAAACTCTCCTGTTTCCTTTTGCTTCTGTGAAAGGAGACAGGTGACACTGATTAGCTGATACACAGCATATAATTCCGCCTGGTGGAGCAACAACCAGAACTTTCTAAAACCAAACTACAACACGGATAAGGTACAAGACACAATGGTTAAATGTCCGGCTAGTTTTACATAATATTTACCCAGCCCATCACCCCCGTGTCTATAGATGTAGAATGCTTCTATCACCCTAAAAGTTGCCTTTTCTTAGTTAATACAAGGCCACCCACAGAGGTAACAATATTCTGATTTATGTCACCATGAATTAGTCCTGCTTATTCTTTTAAGTTTTATTTACATGAAATTATATAGTAAGTCTGCCTTCTTTGCCCAGAATAATGTCTATGAAGTAAGTCGGTGTTGTTCCTTTTATTGATACTCAGCATCACATTTTCCCCACCATATGTTATTCCACTGCATACCCATACCACAGGTTATTTACACTCTTCTTGGTTATAGACATTTAGGTCATTTTTGCCTTAATGAACAACAATACTACAGACAGTCTTGTACTTATCTTTTGGAGAACATGGGCACTTATTTTTCTTCAGTATACAATTATGAAGGGAATTACTGGCTCACTGACAGGCTTTGTGAATAACTTTCACAGGGATTAAGTCAGGGTTTTCAGTGGACTTGAATATCTAACTTTGGCATAACCAATCAGTGAGTGTTGCACGTCTATGATATAAATGATAAGCATTGTGACACAAAGTGTTAGTTCTTGCTCTTAAGATGCTAATACAATGACAAGATAAGAAAATAATGAAAAATGCAATCAGGAAAAATAAAAATAAAATAGGAAATAAAATTAGTAAAACTATTAGGTTTCTGAGTTCCCATGATTTTCTTGAATAACAGAACTCTTTTCACTGGCAATGAAATTTTACACAGACAACCAGTAATTCCTGCTCTAAAGTAGAGCTGCCCCCTGGAAGGATAGGGGATGTGGACTCGACTGCCTTTTGCTCCCTTTCTTTTCTCATTTACTCCAACACATAAAAACATTGATTCTCAAAAAATGGGTAACACATACCTCAAAAGGACTTACCAAGAAAGAAAGACATCCAGGGTGTCTTGTGTGCAGGAAGAACACACCATGCTCCTTGTGGGTGGACAACAGTATAGGATGAATTCCAAGCTTGTCCCTGGTGTATAAGAAAGTAAGTGGCTGACCCAGATTGCTTATGTTTAAGAGTCCAGTGTTTCTTCTAAGTTAAACTCAGAGAACCACTAAACCACTCTTTCCTTTCTTTAGCTCAGGAGGAATAAGATTTGTAGATCTTACGCGATTACACGCGGAGCGTTCCCAGGGGTCAGTTGTAGTATTTCCAAATCTGCACTGACCAAGATGAGAGAAAGACCATTGGGGGCCAGTTCCAGACTTGTCAGGATCCCCACTTCTTGCAGAACTTGGTTCAGGTGAAGACTATAGCTCAAAAAAATAGACAAAGAAAGATCTCAATTTAGTCAGCCTCCCTCGGGCTCCACAGCTACCCATGCATCTTCACACGTGAAATAAAGAGCAAAATGCCTGCCTTCCCATCTAACCAGTGCACTTGTCCTTGTTTTGATGGTGCCAGCCAAGACTCCAACCCAGGGCCCTAGTGAGCCAGGCCAGCCCCTATTTTCCTTTCATCAGTATTAGTGCTCATCACGCCCTTTCCTTCCTTGCTCACACTGGAAACCCGTAGCATTCTTATCGTTTCCTTCATTCCTAACTCCAGCTGGTCATTAAGCACTGAGGACTGTATGTGCAATGCATTCATGTATCAGTCCCTTCTCTCATTTCTACTGCCCAGGTCAGGACCTGCAGTGTGCCTTCCTTGGACTGTAACACAGCTGTGAAAGGTCTCCTTCCCTTTGGTCACAACTATCCTGTTGGTGGCGACCTCTATGTACACTGACATAGTGTCTGTCCTAGGCGCTATGCCCTACCTGCCTCACAGGTCAGTTTTGGAATGCAGAAATCACCTTCTTCTAGATCAATGAGTTTAGCATCCAGGTGTGGGGAGGGATGCTGGCCTGTCATCTTTGTGATGTTAAGCTTGCCTATTTTCCTATTGCCTCAGTACTGTTCCAGGAAAAGCACCCATCCCTGCCCCCTACACTGGCTCATAAAATGGTAGCTAGCTGGAGATTCAGGGCTTTTTGTTCCTAGAGAGCAACTGGTGGTTCCCCATCCCTGCTATGCACCCCTCTACTCTGTCTATTGCTCATTCTTTCCTTTCTTGTGGTGCGCTATAACCCAGGCAGGAGACTGGAACCCACTGCATGGGTTTCCAATAACTGGCATTGTGGAAAGGATCTTTAATGACTGGTGCTTCTGATGGGATGTTACATAACAAAATCCTCGTGGAGGGTTTAGTCTCCCACGTGGCAATGTAGCACATAGATGAAAACAGAGAGATCTGCAGTTGAACGGGCTCTGGGATGACCAAATCCTCTTGTTGGACCAAAGGGCCAAAAGTCCACATGCCCAAGGCTTTTATTGGTACCAATCAGGGAGGTGGGTGGAGGTCATGGCAGAGTACATGGAAGAGAAGCCTTGCAGACATAGCTATAAGGAGACAGAGCACTCTTGCACCATGCACAGAGGCTCCCTAATTAGTGATGCAGGAGATAAATTGATGTATGCAAAGCTGACACCTTTAATGACAGGAATACGATTCTTATTGAGTCCCATGGGCACAGCAGAGATGCCATCTCATGTCTGAGCCCGGGACTCTCACAGGCTGCTGCTGGAGCCTCTATTCCAGCCTTCGGCACAGGAGCTGTTCTCCTCCCTGGGCAGCCACTTTGCCATCTTGAGACTCACTGGCATATCAGCTGGACTCAGTCACATCCTCTGGCCAGTGAGGGAACATCTGCTTCAATCTGGCCAGCTGTGCACATCTCATGAACACGGTTAAAGAACAGCTCAGGGAAAGATGGAGGCAAGGGACCTCTTTTCTCAGGGCAGTGTGGCTTGGTGGTCTCCCACACTATCCATCTATCCTCTATATGCCAACCAGTTTCCTCTTACTGAAGTTCTTTGTTTAAATACATACTTAATTATTTTGAGACAGGGTTTTGCTATGTATCCCAGGCTGGCCTCAAACTCACACAGATGCTCCTGCCTCATTCTCCTGAGTGCTGCCATTACAGACCTGCTCCATCCTCCCTGGCTTCTGTCACTGAACTTCTCATCATGAGGATTTGGCAGTGTTGTTCAGGGGCCAGCTGCATGCTTAGTATCATGTATGAGGCCATGGAGGGGGGGAATTATTTTTCTTTTCTTTTCTTTTTTTTTTTTTTTGGTTATTTGTTTTGTTCTGAGGGTTTGTTTGTTTGTTTTTTGAGACAAGGTCACCTCTATGATTCAGGCTAGCCATGAATTCACTACGTAGCTCAGGGTGTTCTTGTACTCATGGTGATCTTCCTGTCTCAGGCTCCCTATTACTGGATTACATTGTGTGTCACCTTTCTATTAAAGTCTTAGTATGGTGCCCTCTACAGCTTGGCCTCAGTTTATCTTCTCAATCCCCTCTCCTGCTCTTCAGCTATCCCTACTTCTTCCAGAAACCCAAGGTATTGGCTACATTACAAATTCATAACACAAATTCATATTCCCCGCCTTTCAGTAAAGCTACTTTTTCATAAAACACCAAAGCCCTAAATCACTGGTTTACAAAACTTATATTCATTCTTGTGCCCGACCTCAAATACCAACTCTTTCCTACAATTTCTCTTATTTGGCAGCCTCTTAAGCTACTGCAAGCTTCTTTAGTTAAAAATTAAAAGACAGCTGCGTGTAGTGGTATATTCCTATAATCACAGCCCTCTGCGAAGCTGAGGAATGAGAATTTCAAGTGTGAGCCCAGCCTGGGCAAAGTGAGACTTAGTGAGACCCTGTCTCAAAATAAAGAGCAAAGATCTGTGGATGTTGTTCAGTAGGGCCCAGTAGTATTTTAAAAAAGAATAAAATTCGTTTGTATTTGCTTTACCAGGTCCAGACCTTGGCATCAGATAGGTACCTGGGAAGAATTCATTTGCAGTGACCTGGCCAGGAGCAGAAACCTTTCCCTGCTCAATACCTAGCGCCCCCTTGACCTGCTCAGAAGCACACAAGCAGTGATCTGTTGAAAGCCCCAGGTAAAAGGAACCTAGTTTCCAAGCACCTTTCCCCAGCTGCCCAGTTTCACCTCAGTCTTCTGGAAGTCGAAGCCGTCTGCCGCTCTAACCCATGCACTCGCCACTTGCTGATCTTTTCATCATCACTGAGAACAAAGAAGGTGTCTGCTGAGAACCAGAGCAGGGCGCTGACTCGGCCTGGAGCCTGGTGAGTGGAACAAGTTCACTTCAGTTTGTCTGAGGAGCCAGGCTAAGCTTCCCCTCCAAACACATACAGCCTCGGCCCAGCAAGCAGCATGACACACATGGCCAGGGCAGTCCTCACACGGATGGAGGAGGCTGCCCCGAGTCACCTGTGCTGTGGCCACGGCCTTGGCTTCCTGCCACAGGGTTAATTCCCCAGCCTGATTTCCAGACACGGCCACAGACCCATCTGGTGCCCAGGCCACAGCGGTGATGGCTGCGAAACTTCTAGGTGTGCTGGTGTCATCTAGGGAAGAAAGGAAGTGATCTTAGCAGCTGGGCTTGTCCTATGATACACAAGGTACCAGGTTAACCAGGTTCTCTACCTCAGCAACAGAGAACTCTTTAATGCCTATCTCCAGGCCTCACTCACCTGCTTTCTCAGGGACCTGACAGAGCCGCACTGATCCTTCTTCTGAGGCAGTCAGCAGGAGGCCTGAGCTCTGGCAGATGGCAGCTGCACTCACCGGACCACCGTGTCCCGGGAGGATGTGTGTCTGCCACACCTAGGAAGGGAGGCAGCTGCACTGCTGGGCACTGACCCCACAGGGCACTGCCACTTATACTTCCCCACCTCCCCCAGCCCCAGAGATTTCAGGACACTCACCATGAGTGGATGCCACAGCCGTGTGGCCCCATCCAGTCCAACAGTCACCACCAGGAGCTCTGAGCCAGACTGTCTTGCTGATAAGACAAGAAGACAGAGTCAGGAGGAAGGAAAAATGCAGGACACAGAGAAGAGGCTTTGGGGAAGAGAAGGTCGCTGACACTGCTGTACCTGGGCGGGGCTCCAGGGCAGCTGCGCACTGGCTGATGGGTCCTGAGTGGGCAGGGATGCTGGTCAGCTCCACACCTCCACGGGCCCACACTTTCAAGGTCCCGTCCCGGTCCACAGACACCACGTGTTCTGCCTGCCCCAGAGCACAAGATGAGAACGCATGTGGCAAGGGGGACTCCCCCTACAGAGGGTGGAGGGCGAGCACCCAGGATTTGGAAGACATCAAAGAGGGAGGAGGACTCAGGTGCAATAGGTATGAGTGGCTCAGGACTGCAATCCTGCCCTGTGGTCCTGATACTATGTATGTTCCCACCTCCATCTCCCACATCAACCCTTAACCCTGACGCTATAACTGAGTCCAAACATGTCACTCTGGCCCTGCCTTTAGCCTTTGGGAGTGTACCCCCAATGCACCCAGCTCCCTGAGCCCCCATGCGTCCTCTGATTCCCCCAGTGACCTTCCACCGCTTTCTCACCACAGCCACTACGGTGCTCACAGCACTCTGATGACCCAGGAAATGACCGAGCTGCTGTCCCGACTTGGGGTCCCACAGCCCCACAGAGCCATCACTGGAGCAGGAAATCTGCAGGCAGAAGGGACAGGAACAGGGCTCTGGGCACTGCTATGACATTTTGCTGTGTTCATAGCACGCAGCGTGTGGGACAGGAGGCCTCCCGATGAGGAACAGGGGCTCTCCCGGGGCTGAATCCCAGCTCCTGCACTCATCACTCTGAGATCTCGGCTGATTCATCTCCCTGAACCTTGGTTTTCTCTTTCTCACCCATTTAAGGAAAAAATGATAAGCTACCACATGGTATGGTTGTGGAGGGGCTGTGTGCACGCTGTCTCGTACACAGTGAACATGTCATAGTGACAACAGTACGTGTTAATCGCACAGTGTCAGTCAACAAATTCAGATAAAGACAAAACACCCACAGTACTAAGAAGAGTACAAGCTGGGGAAGGATAGATTACAGCAAATCTGCTTCAAGGATTCACTCCTTTCTCACCTCTTTTTGAGGACAACACATGGAGGCTCGACACTGAGCCTCATTTTGACTAAGTGTGGCGATATTCACAGACACTTAGGTCCAGCCTGTTGCACACTAAGTGCTCAGTAAGCACCAGCTGTGCCTACCAGAGTGGGCACGGGAAAGGGAATGAAATGGAGAGTTCTGTCTTCCTCCAGGAATCCTGCCAGGCTCTGGGCTACCCCACACCTTCACTCACCAGTAGGTTATCTTTGGTCCAGGCACAGCCAGTAACCCAATCACGGTGACACGCGGGGAAGGAGCGCATCAGAAGTGGGGTCTGTGGTGTCCTCACGTCCCAGCAGAGGAGACTCTGCACAGGTTCCAAGGAGAGCGAAGCCCTCAGGACCACAGGGGGAGGCAGGAGCACCAGGGCCACACTGAGCAAGAGGTGTCAAGGAAGGAAAGAAAGTGCAACAGAGAGCAGGCGGAGATGGCAGGAGACTGGGCAGAGCAGGAGGCAGGAGGAAGCTGTGGGAAACGGGCTGTGCAGGACGCAGGCAGCATGGTGCCATAGGAGCCAGGGCTGGCATGCTTCAGCACTCACCTGGTCCCTGCCCCCAGTGGCCAGGCTGCCTCCATCCACGCTGAAGCTACAGCAGCTTACAGGGCCCTCATGTCCCCGGAGCTCAGCGGCACAGGGCAAGTCTCCAGTCTTGTGCTGCTGAGTCAGCAACTGTTTGGGCCAGAGCCGGACTGTGCAATCCTCTGCATGGGGGAGAGAGAGGAAGGCTTCCTGAAGGTGGACGGAGGAGCGGCCTTGGAGTGGGGGACAAAGGCCATGATGGGGCTGAGGGCCATGCCTGAGGCAGGGATCCAGGACAGGGAGGAGGTGAGTTATAAGGGTGTGGCGAGGCCCTGGGCCAGGGCCAGTCGTCATGTGTTAATGACCAGCACGGTGTGCCAGCTCCCAGCTCCAGTCAGCAGTGAGGCTTCTTGTGCCAAGAAACATCTGGCCCACTTCCCCACACACCTGTTCTCACCACTCTACAGTCCCTGTCACCTGAGAGGACCAGGCCATGCTTCCTTGTCACCTGTGCATCTCTAGCTCTGCTCAGGGAAGCCCACCTGCTCCTACAGCCAAGTCTCCCTCCCTCAGGACAAAAATGCAAAGGAATACTGGGAGCTTACCCAGACTGGTGCATATGGAACAAGAAACTGTCCAAACTGACTACAGAAGATAAATGCGCCTGAAGCACTTCACAACGTGTAAAATAAACCCTAACTGTATGATTCCATACATGAACATCCCTCAAGTACTGGTGGAAGGAAAATATTAGAATCTGATAAAAAAGAAAGACTGAGGAAAGCCTGCCCTGCTCAGCACTGTACCTGACGCAGAAGCCAGGAGATGCTGGCAGCTGGCCAGTCCCAGCACCGCCTTCTGGTTTTGGGGCAGAAGCCAGAGGGACTGAAGGGTGCTTTCCTTGAGCAGCCAGCCCTGCAGGGTGCCATCTTCTGTACCACTCACCAACACCTGGGGACTCAGCCAGGCCAGTGCAGACACTGCCACCTCTAGCATTGGACCCTGCACCAGCTGGGAACCTGAAGAAAGACACAGAGGCTGAGAAGAAGACATGGGAATGGGCTGAGCTAAGGCTGCCCTCTTTCCAAGGTTGCAAAAATCCATCCATCACAGCTTTAGTACCTGAAGGGACTCTGTAGATCTTAATGCCATCTGTTCGGTACCCAACTGCCACCCGCTTGCTGTCTAGGCTGAGTGCCACCGAGAGGGCAGGAGAGAGAGGAAGGGAGCCCAGGCATCCCCGAGGTCGACCCAGAGAGCCTGACCACACCTGAACCTGGGAGCCGAGGAAACGGATTAAACACATGGCCCCACAACCACCTGGTCCTTCACCCCAAGGATGGCCACCTCACTAAGTTCCTCCTCCCAGAGAATCCTGAGCACTACCACGTGCACACAGTGCTTTCCTCTCCTGTAGCTCGGCCTCCGGGCTCCTCTAGGCTCAGCACTGGCCCCACCCTCACCCAAATCCCTGCCTTTGCTACACCCTCCAGATACCCCACCATAACCCCCTGCAGCCAGACCTTGCCGTCCTCGCCAGCAGTCAGCAACTGGTTTTGGGCATGCAGGAAAAGCACAGCAGAAACAAAGCCACAGTGGGCAGGGAAGGTGGCCAGCCGGGCCCCCTCTTGCCAGGCCCACAGCTCGACCATCCTGTCCAGCCGACCCACAGCTACGACCCGCCCAGGTGCATTGAAGGCCAAAGTTCGAACAGAGGATCCAGGGGCCCCCAGTTCCTACACAGGAAAGCAGATACAGAATCTCAGGGCTCACTTTCAGCACAACTCCAAGTGACACCGAGGCAGATGCATGTCCCTCCCCTCATCCCCTCCTGTGCTTCCCTCCCCACCAAGTGCTACTGTGGGCTTCTACCTTGGTGGCTTTGAGTCCTTCCACCTGGAAGAAGCTGATGCTGCCTGCCCAGCTGCCAGTGGCCAGTGCTTGCCCCTCTGGGTGGAAGGCAAGGCAGTTGAGGGGCTTGGCACCAGTGTGCTGGAAAGACAGCTGCCCACGGACCGTGTCCCACAGCTGGAGGAGACAAAGTGGAGGAATTTGAGAGCTAAGTACAGATGCTGAGCTTCTCAGTCCCACAGCCCCGACACCACCTCACCAAGTCCCCTCCTGCAATAGCTGAGGGCTCTCCAGCCCAAGCAGTCAGCATACCAGCCATGCTGAGAGCAGAAACACACAGGGCTGATTCGCAGTGGTCACTTTGTGGTTACCTTTAGGCAGCCTCCCAGGCACACGGTGGCCAGCAGCCGTCGGTCAGGGCTCAGGCAGCAGTCCGTGATTTGGTATTGGTGAGCCTGGGTCTGCAGCACCCTATCCCGGCAAGACAAGTTCAGGCCCTGGGACCACGTGGCCACGGCCCTCCTTGATCCTGTGTCCCTGGGCTTCTCAAAGGGACGGGCCTCGCTTAGAGACATGGGGGGACCGCTCACCGACAACCGCACTGCAGGTCCCAGAGCTCCAGGAGCCCATCAAAGGCAGAAAGGAACAGGGCGTTGTCTGAGACAAAAGTGCAGGACGAGATCCCATCACAGCCACTCACCACAGATTTTTCCTCCTGTGAGGCAGGATGGAAGGGGAAGTCGGGCTGCTTCCTGACCTTCCCTGTGCAACTCCTATAGCCCCAGCCAAAGCCAAGGCCAAGGGGAGAAGGGCTTGCACCCCAGCTCTCTGTATTCCTGATCCATGTCAGCCTACCTCTTCTCCCACACCCAAGCCCCACACTTACTCCCCACTTAGGATTCTCATGGGGCTCGGCAAATGAGGTCCCACTAATGCGTATATAGACACGGGAGCGCGGTGATATGGATGAGGACAGAAAGGCCTTGGCAGTGGGCCTCCTCTCCTCTCCCTCATCTACCACTGCCCCTCATTACCCTCTGCTGCAGTCCTTACTGGCAATGCACAGAAACACTGCCCTCGGGTTTTGCTGTGGCTCCATCAGAGGCCAGAGGCCGTTCTGCTCCACCCTAAATCTTCTGTGCTCCAGGTGACCACAGGCTCTCAATGATGGCAGCATTGTGGTTTTGTTTTCTGTCTTACTCCTTTGTCTCTGCCCTGTCTGATTATGGAACGAGGAGAGATGGGAGCCACACTGACCACTGTGCTTCTTGTCACGTACAGTGCTGTGATGGTTTGGGCCTTTCCTCCATCAACACTGGGTATTAGATATTTTGTCTCAGCAACAACAGAAAAGTAACTAAGCCACGAACTTGGAATGGACTACAGGCAGCAAATAATGGCTGTTTGTTTTGGGAGTTTTTGTTTTTTGTTTTGTTTTATTGTCACTACTGGGAATTGAACCTACAGGCTTTGTATTGACCTACATACCCAGGCTTTTTATTTTTATTTTTCTTTGTCAGACAACATCTCAGTAAGTTGCCAAAGCTAGGCTCTTTTGGTCCTACTGCCTCAGCTTTACAGGTTGCTGAAATTACAGTCATGTACCCAGGAGGGTGATTTTCTTTTTGGACCAAACTCTTTGATCTGACTCAAAAGAGATAAAGTTGGTAACGCATGATGAAATGAACAACTACTTTGAAGAAAAAGAGACACTACAGTACCCAGTGCTGATCCCATACTGTCATGATGTGAAATCCAGCATACTATTATTCTTTGTTCAGAGTGATTTTAGCCCGTTTTGTTTTGTTTAATCTTAATATACATGAAGGTGTGGACAGCTATTTTGAAGAGAATGAGAGATACACTGACAGCCACTGTTGACCTCCCTGTTGTCTGATCTTGAAGACCTAAAATGCCTTCTTCATTCTGTTCAGCTCAGTTCTATATCATGTTGTTGCATGCAAATTCTCTGAATGTGAAGATATGCTCAACTATTGGAAGAAAACAGACAATATGATAGATAGTGAAGATTTCTGATTGTCTTGCTTTGAAATTTATGTCTCTTACATTGCTTTCTTAAGTTCTGTTTCACTCTGTTCTGTTGTGTTCAATTTTATCCTCTTTAAAAGAAAAAAGAAAAGAAAAGAGATAAAGTTGGTGAATACATATGGGAAATTATGCATGTGCCAAGCTGTGAGGGCTGAGGGTTTCTGGAGGTAACACTTGCCCTGTCTCAGGTGTCATACCTGCCAGGTTCTCAGGTTCAAAAGGTAAACTGTCCCATTGGCAGTGCCCACAGCTGCTCTTTGTCCATTAAGAGAGATGGCCACGGCAGTGGGGGATGAGGAAATTGCCAGAGACGTGCTGGAGCTGGAGGAAGAGCAGAAAAAGCGGCATTTAGGAACAGATAGGAAATTGACTTCTGCCCTCTGAATCGGAATCCTTAGGGCTGAAGCTGTTCTGTGGTTGAGTTTCCAGGGCCTGTGGGCACAGCCTCACCTGTGCTGACCCCGCACACTCTGGGGTTTATTGAGCCATCGCAGCATGCGCTGGAGGTGCCCTCGCTGGGAGAGCAGCGGGGCCTGGCAGCACACAGGTGAGTCTGCAGGTTGGTTGGCTGCCTGCTGGCGTAGAAGTCGGGGGTAGCGGCTGAGGACTGGGGCCTGCTGCCTCAGGAAGGTGCGGAATGCTGCCACATCAGCCTCAGGGAGCTTTGGTTCCTCCTCAGGGCCTGAAGAAGCTATGGAGAGACAAGCACAGATTCATTGAGGAGCCAGCCAGACCCGTTACCCAGAGCACCACATGAAATCACCTCATTGGTCTAAAATAGTCTCCAAGTGTGGTTGTCTGGTCCATGAGAAACACTGTGCAAAGCAGTGTGAAGCTTTGGGTCACACACTGACCTAGGGAAGCAGTCTGGGGCTCTCGGGATCTGTAATTTGAACACGTTTCCTGGATGATTTTCTGTCCCCTATGTAAAGTCTGAGAACTTCCAATCCAAGAGGCCTAAGCAAAATGTCTCCAGAGAACTAATAGCTCACCCCTCTGGCATGCTCAAATTCTGGGAGAGACCTGGCTGGTTTTCCTGTTACTCTTCCCCCTCAGCAGGGTTCTCCTGAGCACACTCAGGAGATCCAGGAGCTCAGAGAAGAAACCATACAGACACTCCTCTCACCATAGAGGGCGTGCGCCTCCAAGAGCCGGGGGAGCAGGCCCAAGTCCAGGTGTGCAGCCACCACGTGCAGACTGGTGAGGAACTTCGCCAGGAGGGCCCGGTGCCCGCTCAGGAGCTGGGGGGGATTGGGTTGTACCCATTACCCATGGGAAGAGGTGGTGAGGAAGGGATGGGAGGAGGCACTGTCTACTCCCAGAGCCCACATCTGTGGCTAGGACCCGATCCACTTGAGGTCCTCTCCTGGAGGACCTCAAGGAGACAAGAAAAACTGTAAGGGGAAGCGGGCAGGGAGTCTGGGGGCGGGGGAGGTAAACCGCAGTGGGCATAGCAGTGGTGTGCAGGGGACAGAGGTCTAAGAATAGCCCGAGAAACCCAGTGTGGAGGCACATCTTGTAATCCCAGCACTCTGCAGGTAAGGCATGAGGATGGCAAGTTTGACCCAGCCTGCACAAATCAGTGACTTGGAAAGAGTCTCAAAAGAAAAACAAAGGCCAGGTATGTACCTCAATGCAGGGCCTGCGCTAAATCCCTAGTATTACAAAATAAAAGAGTAAGATTGGGCAGGGAAGGTGCTTGGGAAAGGTTCCCATGGGATCTGGGGACTGACCAGGTGGTAAGGCAGGTCTCCCAGAGCCTCTGGAGGGCAACGTCGGAAAAAGCCTGAAGCATCAGGGTCACATGCCTTCCACAGCAGAGCTGTAAAAACAAACCGAGTGTCAGGCATGGTGACACACCCGTAATGACAGCACTTCGAGGCTTAGACAGGAGGATTATCACACATTTGAGGGCATTCTGGGATAAACAGTGAATTGAAGACCAGCCTGAGCTACACAGCAATACCCTGTCTCAAAACAGCAAAAAACAAACACTCCATCAAAACTAGACCCTGAGAAGACCTCAGTGCTGCGGCATCCTGAAGGTCATGTCCCTCCAGCTACAGCAGGGGTATCCACCCACTGTAATGCCAAGGCTTGGAGTCAGCAGATAGGGGCACACTTGGGTGGTACTGCCCCTCTGATGTGGGCCCCAGACCTAGTGCCCTAGATGACTAGGGCCGTGCTCACCTGCAATAAGGACATGGGCTGTGTCCTCCAGCCCTCGCCTTTTTCCATAGCGGCGTTTGGCTGCTGTCTTCAGGGGTCCATCCGGGAGACAGAGGCGGGCACCAGGGCGCTCCAGAGGCCCCTCCCCTAGCAAACTGTGCCCAGGAGAATTGGGCAGAGGAGCAGGGAGGAGAGGAAGGAGGCCTGTCAGGGAGCACCATAGTTGGCTTCCTTCCCACCTCACGTGGGGGTGATGGAATTGCATCTGATGCTGAGCCTGCAAAGCACTTGTTAGAGCTGCCCCAAAGAAAGGGAGATGAAGAAAGAGTCCTGGCTCCAAGAGGGTAAGGTGCAGCACAGTGGGTAGTGGGAGCCGGGCTTGGGCACATGTACCTGCGCAGGCTCTGCACCAGATAGGCAAATGGGCCCATGGGGTAGGGCTCTCCACTGTTCCCTGCAGCCACCGCTTCTTCCCAGCTCTTGGTCCCCTTGGGTAGAATCTGCCACGCACTGAGCACCGCATGCAGCTGCTCCACAGTCAGACCTAAGAACCCAAGCCTAAGTGTCAACCCAAACACACAGTGTTCCCATGCCAAGACACCTGGTCCTTTCGGGGGGAGATCCCACCTGAATCATGCCACACAAACCCTGAGCACTTCCGTATCCCATTCTGCCCCACCACTGACCACTGCGTGTGACTTCCAGGGAGGCTAAGGTTTGGGGAAGGACATCACGGCCGTGCTCGTGCTCCAGGGTGCTCAGGATGTGCTCCAGCAGCAGGGGCACAGTGGCAGGCAGGGAGCGAAGTCTCTCAGACACCTGGGAGGGGAAGGTGGCTAGGAGTCATGGGGTGGGGAGAGGCAGCATGGGCTTAGGCAGGGAAGGGGTGGGAGGTGAGGAGGGGAAGAGAGAGACAGGTGGAGGGAAGTGGGTGTGGTGGTGACACAAGGATGGGAAGGGGTGATCACAGATGGCAAAGGCCACATGTGGGCCTGAGGCATGGAGCCCAAGGGCTGTATGGAGAATGGGAAGCAGGTTAGGCCTTGGCAGATGAGGAGCAACCAACCTGCTCATAGAGCGTGAAGAGCCTCAAGTGGTCCGTGACCAGGCGCAGGTAGAGAGGCAGGCCTGATGCCCACTTCACTAGCAGCAGTTGCATCTAGTGAGATGCACAGGACTCAGTGTGGGGACTGAGAGCCTGCCACAGCCTGCCTCTGCCCCCAGTACCACATTCACCACAAGGCAGCTTCTTCTCTGAGAGTCCCATCAGGGACAGCCCCTGGCACCACCTGGGAATACAGTATCCCTCCCACATCCCACCAGTGCCTCGGTCAGGGCACTGGCCTGGTGCAACCTGAGGGCACCAAGCCCTTTACTGGTCTGTCCTCCCCTCAGGGTCCTGGAGAGGCTTTCCCCAGTCAAAAGTCCTTCAGAAAACAAAGCAGCAGCCCACGCAGGGCAGGGGTCAGCCACAGTGCCCCATGCCCTGCCAGCTCCCAGAGCCACCCAAACACCCACCAGCCCCGGCAAGGGTCCAACCTGGTTGTTGAAAGGTGACTCCTCCAGCCTCTTCCCATAGAGTGCTAGCTCCTCCCTCACCAGCTGGGCCCGGACAGATGGTTCCAGGGGCCCCAGGGTTACCACGTGGGCTGCTTGGCTCTGCTCAAGAGTCTCCCCAAGGCCAGAGTTGCTAGACACACTCAGCACCAGGTGGACCCACTGTGATTTGGGGGCCAAGCAGCAGAAGGCAGGGGTAAAGGGAAGAAACCAAGTTAGAGAGGACTCTCCTTCCAAGGCATCCCTTGTCCTCTACTCCGCCCCACCCCAACGTCCTTCTCACACTCACCCGGGGAAGGGACTTTGGGATCCAATCCGACATCAGCTGCCCATTCTCATTCACCAACTTGTCAGCCCCGTCGATGATCAGGACCAGGGTCTGGCCAGGCTGCAGGGTCTCAGCGCATTCGGGTAGCAGCTTGTGCTGGAGCTCCCACACCAGGCGGCTGTGCGGGGAAGGCAGTTGGGATCAGGCCGATGAGGAGCTGCAGCAACTGCAGCTGAGGACAGGGGACACACCCACCGGTATGAGCTGGGGAGGGCACTGGCTTTGTGCAGTTTTCCATGCAGATGGGTACACAGGCGCCGGAGCAGGTTGAGGGCAAGAGCCTGGTCAGGGCGGGCCCCTGAGAAGTGGAAGAAGACTGTGGGTGCCACTTTGACTCCATCAGGAGCCTGCAGAGCAGACACGAGGGATGCCTGCATGGGACAGGAACAAAAGCCTAGTCACATTTTATTATCTGAACAAGCTCCACCCCATAGATTAGATATTCAGCACTGCCCACCTCCTAGTGCACAGACCATGGGCCTCCTACCAGGAAGGTGGTCTTGCCCTGTCCTGACTGCCCTGTCACCAGGCTCAGCGTCCCACGGGGCAGCATCAGCTGCCTCACTGTGTCACGAAGCAGCTTCGGCCGGGCAGGACTTGATGGGCTCCATAGCTCCTGAAAGGTGGCCTGCACCACGTCATCCTCCGAGATGGACGCTGGCTGCTGCAGCTCAGCCCCAGGCTGAGGATACACGGGGCAGGGACTGCTCAGCTTTCCTTGCTGTGACTTCCAGAATCTCTACCCAGGAATCTCCACGTTTCCCTCTCCATTCTCGTTGCTATCAGGACTTCTGCTCACCTGTAGGTAGAGCTTCTGGATCATGCTCCACACATCCTGGAGAACCAGCTGCCCAAACTCCTCTAGTCCCCCAGTGTAGGGCCGGCCAGCGGCTACGCCCCCCCATTCACAGGAGTATCTGCAGGTAAAGCACACACACCAGAGTCAGAGCAGGCCTGGCTCCCGGCACCACCCCATCTGTACCTGGAGCTGCCCACCTCCCCAAGCTCACCTACGACAGGTGACCCTTTTCTGTCTGCTGAGGTAACTCTTCAGTTCGGACATCCGCTGGGTGGCCTCTTCTGACTCAGCAGCAAAGTCAGCTCTCCAGTTCTCTGGCACAGAGCTGACCACCACAGACACCCAAGAATGAGACAAGAATGACACCCCAGCCTCCCTCCACCAACCATCACATAGGGCTGGGACCTCCTGAACCCCAAGGAGAGACCTGACTTCAGCCCCTGGGTGACATGTGCTGTAGGGCAGGAGCCCTGGGTCCTGCTTCTCTCTCAGAGCTCTTAGCTCACCTCTCCCATGCTCAGTGCCACCCTTGAGCCTGCCTGTCCTACTGGAGAGGGAGCCCTGGAAGGCACCTGAGGAAACTGGAATCCCGGAGGTAGATGAGAGCCTGGGCAGAGGGCTGCAGGCCTTGGTCCCGGTTCAGGAACTGCATCACCTCCATCTCTGTCATGGAGCGGCCTGGTGGGTACTGCTGGGCCTGCAGGGAAAGGCCAGAGCAGGCAGGTTCAGTACCAACTCCTACTCGCCTGCCCTCCAGACCCCCACGGCCTCGGTGCTCCCTCATCTCGGCAGAGTCCCTCCCTTCCTCTGAAGTTCAAGCTCCGAAGTAGAAACAGCTAACATTTCCTGAATGCCTGACATGTACTGTGAATTCTTCAAGCAGATTTTTAATTTTTATCATGGCCATGAAAATAGATGTTCTTGCCTCTCTTCACTGTGTGCGGAGACAGGGGATAAGTATTGTGAAGCTGCTGCCCACTACACTTACAAACAACAGAAGGGAGATTAGAAGTCAGACCTGTCTGAGGGCAAAACCTCCCCAGACCTCGTCCTGAATGAGCCTCCTGACAGAAACGTGGTCACTTGCAGATGCTCTGCCTGCATGCACTTCAGGTCTCGGAGGCAGGCCTGTGCAGAGTCCCAGGCTCCTGACACACTGTGGCCTTTCCTCTCCCCAGGTCTTCCCCACCACTCCCGCAAGCTCAGCTGCCTTACCCAGCGGAAGTGAGGATGGTCAGGAAGGCTGTAGTTGGGGGGAACGTAGCCATAGCGGGAGCCCAGAATCCCCACAAATAGCTGTGAGTTCTCCACCTCCCCAAGGCACACTTCCAGCTGTCTGTAGGCATGATGACAGGAACATGGAGAGTCACCGAGGCTCTGGGCCAGGGAATACAGGCACAGAACCACAGTGACAGGGCCTGGCTCACACAGCAAAGGGGGTGAAGGCTGCTGGTCATGTTGGTACCAACTCCCTGCCTCTATCCTCATCTATCAGAGGGTTTTACCCTGAAACCCCTCTTCCCTGACCAAGACTCCCCTCCCTGTCTGCACCTGTTCTTGCGGGTCTCCTCCTCGGTGATGCCCCAGCGCAGGTCGATACCATGGAGGCTGATGCGGTGAGAGGCAGCTCGGGCCTGCAGTGCTGGCAACACGGACCTCAGCAGCAGGTCCCGCTCCCCATGCATGTCCCGGAAGGTGGAGGAAATGAACAGCCGGATGCTGCGCCAGCTGGGGGTAAAAGGAGGGCCAGGACAGTCCACCGATGAAGCCCCAACTCAAACCCACAGACACAGCAGAGGGTGTCATGGGGACACTGCTGAGGCCTCATCTGCACAGCTGTGGAATCTAAGCCCCAATTGCCATCTCTCCTGCACCCCTGCTTTTCAGCCAATCATTACCAGTCATGTACTATTTCTTCACAACCCCGTAAGCTGCACACTCTTACTATCCCCAGCCTACCAATCAAGTAACTACAGCTTTTCCAGCCTTGGTGGTGCAGCCTGAAATCCCAGCCTGACGAGGTAGCAGCAGGATTGTGAGTTTGAGGCCAGGCCAGACAATTTAGGAAGACTCTATCTCAAAAAACAAATTAAAAAAAAAAGAGAAAGAAAAGAAAATTTTAGAAAAACAAGAACAAGTCAAGCCAAAAGCTCATACCAGGGAAGAAATTATTAAGTTCAGAACAGAAGTTAATGTAATGGAGTCTATGAAAACAATAAAACAACGGAAGAGCTGACTGTTGGAAAGATTAAGTAAAATCAACAAACGCTTAGCCACCCTTACCAAGAAAAGGAAAGAAACAACTGAAATTCATGCAATTCAGAATGACAAAAGAGAGATCACAACAGATCCTGCTGAAATTAAGAAGATCATCCATATCTACTTTGAGAACTTGTATTCCAGTCAGATGAAAAACACAAGAAATAGACAGATTCCTAGATGCACAGGAATTCCAAAAGCTGAATCAAGAAGATAAAAATTCTAAATATACCAATCTCACTCAGTGAACTTGAAGATGTAATTATTTTAACTTTTTTTTGGTACTGGGGATCGAACTCAAAACCTTGCATTTGCCAGGCAGGTGTCTGTGCCACTGAGCTAAATTCCCTGTCTTGAAGATGCAGTTAAAACCTGCCAACAAAGATAAGCTCTGGTCCTGACACATTCACTGTTGAAATCTACAAGAAATTTATAGGAGAACAAATACCACTACTTGTCAAACTCTTTCATAAAACTTAAAAAGAACCCAAACTCCTAATTCATTCCTGGAATAATGCCTTTCCCTGATGCCAAAATAAGAAAGGGACACAAACAAGAAAAAGAACTATACGCTTATCTCCCTAGTGAACACAGACACAAAAACCCTCAATAAGATACTGGCAAATAGAGTGCAGCAAAAGCTTAAGGGTATACACCGTGACCAAGGCGGATTCATCTCAGGCATGCAGGGATGTTTCAACATATGCAAGGCAGAAGAAATCACAATCCTTGAATTGAAATTATACCACAAAGTTACTGTGATAAAAACAGCATGATACTGGCAAAAACAAACAAACAAACAGTAGTCGTAAGGATTAATGGAACAGATAAGAAGATGTAGAAACAACTGCAGATATACTGAGCCACCTTATCTTTGACAATGGTGCCAAACCTATTCATTGGAAGAAAAATATCCTTTTTAATAAATGGTGCTAGAAATACTGGTTTTATACACACTGAAGACCAACTAAACCCATACCTCTCACCATGCAAGAAACTAAAATTGAAATGGATCAACAATCTAAATATTAAAATAGGAACACTGAATATGCTAGAAGGTAGAAAAAGTAGAACTCTTAAAGACATTGGTACAGGCAAAGACTTTGTGTACAAAAGCCCAGTCACACAGGAACTACCACAAAGAATCAACAGTTGGGATTTTATTTTATGAAAAAGCTTTTGCACAGCAAAAGAAACCACCAATAGAGTGAAAGGAATATGTGCGAAAACATTTTTGCTTAGACAAAAGACTACTATCTACAACATATAAAGAACTAAAAAAATCAGACCTTCCAAATTTAAACACCCAATCCAAAAATGGGCATCTGAAATCAATTAACACTTCTCAGCTGAAGAGGGAGAAATAGCAAATAAATATATGAAAAGATGCTCAACATCACTGGTCATTTGAGAAATGCAAATTAAAACAATGCTAAAATATCACCTTGCACTATTGGTGGGAGTGTAGACCAGTGCACCGACTATGGAAATCAGTATAGATTCATCAAAAAACTAGGATTAGAGGTTTCATTTGGCCCAGCTATTCCTCTTTTTGGTATCTTCCCAAAAGAATTAAAAGAATCATACTACAGCAATACATGTGCACTCATGCTTATATTGATAGTTTGTAATAACTAAATCTTGGAAACAGCCCAAATGCCCATTGATGGATGGATGAACAGAGATGTGTGTGTGTGTGTGTGTGTGTGTGTGTGTGTGTGCGTGTATGTGTGTGTGCATGTGTGTGTTTTAATACAATAGGGTATTACTCTACCATAAAGAATAATCTTGAGACATTTCTAACTAAATGGATGCATGGTGAAGTCATTCTCTTTAGTGAAATAAATCAGACATATATGTATAAATATTGCGTTATTCTCTGATGTGAGACAACGAAAGTACAAATAAAGATCAAAATGTATAACAGACATTGTGAGATTAGGAATAAAATATTCAAACGAAAAGGGGAACTAGGGATGGAGATAAAGAGGGAAGAAAAAAGGAGAAAATGATGAGAATACAAGGAAAAATGGAAACTAAGCTTTTATAAAGAGGTGAAGAGGGTAAAGGTAGGGTAGGAGAATAGGGGGAAAAAACAAATTATATCGTGCAGGCAGATTCCCCATAATGAATGTGATCATTATGTACACCTAAAATGTACCAATAAACCTAATTAATCAAACAATATGGAGACTGAGGGTACGGTTCAGTGGCAGAGCTCTAGCCTAGCATGTGTGTTTCTGGGTCCAATTTCCAGTACTGCACACCAAAAACAAAATTATAGTTTTAAGAAATTAAGCATTTGGCCCAAAGATCAAGAACCGTTTGGCAAAGTCGAGATGAAAACCCCAGAGGCTGCGCTCCTGAGCGCTTTGCCTAAACGCTGGCTCTGCGGTCACGGCACCTGCTGCTTCCCTCGCAGTTTCGCCATCCTCTCCCCAGCAGACAAAGCTGCGAGTCCGCAGCAGGACTTTTCCAGTGCCACAGGAGCCCCTGCCTGCGGAGGGACGGGCACATCTGAGTCACTAGGACACTGCTGTCTCAGTGGACACAGCAGAGGGATTCTCCAGACACGGAGACACAGACTGACCCAGGCTGCGACAGAGGAGCCAAGCGGCTGGGGGCGTCCTCCTCCAGTGGCCGGAGAGTCGGGACCTGCGTCTTTCCCAAGGGTGGAGGTATCTTGAATATTCTGTCCATCTGGCCCACGTGCTCCAGAAGACGGGAGGCCCCACGCTCTGCAATGAACCTAGGAACAAAATAAATCAGAAGAAATTAATAGATGTCAGCATCAGAAAGGTCTTCCAAGGACAGGGAGAAAAGCTATAAGCAGGCATAGTTTAAATAAATGACAGCACAGAACCACAGGAGTGAAAGGAGAGCACAGAAACCCTGCTCTGTGGCCTCCAACTGTACATTGCAATCATGAAGATTTCTGTTGGACCAGGGAAAACTGGACTGGGCTAAGACGTGGAGATCAAACCAGCCCCAGCTGGGCTGTAGGTCCTCCAAGCAGTGTGAAAGCCCCCAGGGAGAGAATGGCAAAAGCCCGGGGCTGAGGTGGTGCAGGACTGTGGTCCCAGCACCCTGCGAAGGTAATGTAGTAGGATGACAAGATCAAACCAAATCTGAGCAATTTAGTGATTTAATAAGGCCTTGTCTCAAATTAAAAAATTGAAAAAGCTTAAATGTAATTCAGTGTGAAAGCCATGGGTTCAATATTTGGTGTCATGTTTTTTAAAAAGTGCTTAAAATTAGAGAAACAGACAAAGTAAAAATATTTCTACAATTCAGCATAAACAGATGGGATTTTCTTCGGATCAAGAATTAAACAGAGGCCACAGAGGGCGGTGACTAACTTTTGAGTTGTTTCCTTAAAAGCCAACACTGAACTCTCCCATGTCCCTGTTCCTCTCTATTCCAGGATCTCCTATAAACCTGGCTGGGCACAGCCAGCCCGAACCATGCACTACATGCTGTAGAGGATGGTGGACCAGTAAAACAGCAAGCCCCTAGACCCTATAACACTGTGTTGCTGCTAGGACTAGTTAATCCTTACAGGATTACCGTTACTTTGCTTCTAAAAAGATGTAAATGGAGGGGCTGGGGATTTAACTCAGAGGCATAAGTCCTGCTTTGCAAGCATGCAGTCGTGAGGTCAATCCCTGGTACCAAAATAAAATTTTAAAAAAGATATAAATGGAGTAAGGAGCACAGGTAGTCTCTCACAGACATTCTAAGGAAGGCTGTCCATCCCCTCCAGTGTCTGTTTTCTACTTACTTCAGTATCCCGTCCGTGCAGCCTGAGAGCGTCACCTCATTGGGATTTGAACTTGTAAATCTGAGAAAGGAGAGCAGTCTCTGAGCACCACAATCAATGCCTGGGACAGTGTCTCTGCCCTCACTGCTCGAGGTGGACAACCCAACTCCCAAACCTCAATTTTAACAAGGTTGTGTGGCTAAGCTGTAGCTCAGTGGTAAACCACACGCCCACGGTGTACAAGCATCTGTTCCCAGCACTGGATACACACACACACACACACACACACACACACACGGCTCTGCGCTGGGACAGGGTTACGGCACACTTGCACACAGGAGTGGAGAACAAGGATCGAGACTTCAGAGAGAGGTCTGGAACGTGAAGTGCATGAGAATTAAGAAGGCAGAGAGACAGGAGGAGCCAGAGAAGTGGGATTTCCCAAGCTGCGGCAGAAGAACAGGAGAAAATGAACCACTGTCTTCTGACATTGGGCAATGGGCTCAGTTATCCTTACCCAACTGTTTTCCTTAGGAGGACACTAACAAAGAGACATTTGGGATTCACATGCTGCCAGATAAGGTGTGGAGCTACAAGCAACATCTCCTGACACATCGCATGACCAAACAGGACCACCCTGTCCATCTGTAAGACAAGAGGGGAGGGGTGAACTGAGGAACAGAGAAAAGAGACAGTTAAGCTCAGGACTTCACAAAAGGCATCTGTAGATGGGGGAGTGGAAGAACTCTGACAGGAGTGGGACACTGGCTCTGCTGAGAATACTAAGATATCAAGGAAGGTACGACTTCCTGATTTGGACATCACAGAGCAGCTGGAAAGACTCCTAGAAGTGTGCTACAGCCAGCTCCTTCATGCTCATGGGAGCTGATTATCTCATTTTTAAGACTTTTGTGGGCTTGTTGAACATGACCATTTATTTTATTTTTTTGGTGCCGAGCACTGAACTCAGCCTTGCGCATTGCTCCGCCATTGATCTAACTGCAGTTGATCTACGGCCAACACACCTGTTTCATACATTAAATTGTATAAATTTGAAATTAAATGAAGAGCTGGGTGTGACAGCACACACCTGTAATGCCAGCACGCAGGAGACTGAGGCTGGAGTTTCACTGAGAGTTCAAGACCAGCCTGGGCTACATATTGAGTTCAAGGACAGCCTGCACTGCATAGTGACATCCTGTCTGACAAAAACAAAAAATAAATAAATGCATAGATAAATCCTCAATATTTGTCACTCTTAATTATCTTATTGTACTTTCCTACTGCTGCTCTTGGCCTTATTTACATCCCTGGCAGTATTGTGGAACTGCGACACAGTGGTAGGCACTGAGCACTTCTTCCTGACTCTACACTCAGCTATATGATGTTGGTAGCTGAAATCAGCCATGGGATGATTCACACCATGGAAAATAGCAAGCATGGTCGAACAAGACTGATTTCCCAGACTGCTGGTGCTTAAATCCCAGACCACAGTAGATCCAGCATGTAGTCATCGGGAAGGAGATCCAGAAGCTGTACAAACTGAAAGATCACTTTTGAAAGGTCAAAACTGAGATGCACCATGTGTAGAGGAAAGTGGGATAGAAAGGCTGAGAGTCACTTGGACTGAGAGGTACTCACAGGGACCCTCTGGACAGCCAGAGACAGCAGGTACTTCTTGAAAGTAACCAGGGGCTGCTCCTCCCCTTCCTCCAACTCCTGAAGGAAAGAGACTCACATCATCGATTGGCTGCACACGAGATAAGCCATGGTCGAGTTCCCATATGGTCTGCGTGTCCCCAGGGTTCACATGTTAAAGTTTAATGACCACTGTGTGGTACATAGAGGCTGGAAACGGCACCTGACTTTGGTAGGAAGAGGTGGGGCCTAGTGGGAGGTCATGGGGAGCCACCTCAGAGGCACTCAGGCAGCTCTCATGAGACCCCCAAGGTCTTGCACGAATGAGTTGTTCTAAAAGCCCAAGCCTGACCCAGGAACCACTCCCTAGCTTTCCATTTCAGGAGATGATCTCTTCCTCTCATGTGCCCCAACCACCATGAGGACCTCACCTGAGCCAAGCTGAGGCCTGGGCCATGCCCTCACATCTCCAGAACTCTGTATGAAATAAACTTGTTTTCTTTCTGCAGTTGTCCTGCCTCACATATTTACTTCAGCAATGAGACGATCCAATCAATCAATAAGAAAGGTCAAGGTCTGTTTGAAGAGTCTCCCACACCCTGTACGTTCATGCCATCACTGTCTGGGTTGCTGCCAGGCCTGTGTCTGCCCTGTGTTTGTAGGAGGTGGGGGCAAGCGTCTGACCTGGACTTGAGCCTGGAGCCTGAGGGCTGTCTGCAGGATCCCTTCCCCCGCTGCCAGCTCGGCAATCTTCAGCATGCCACTTCCACACAGCGCGACCTCAGCCTGCTCTGCCCGCGCCACCATCATTCCCAGCAGTAGCAGCACATAGTTCAGGGGGGCCTGGTAGGGTAAGCATCAGGGTGAAAGAAAGCTCCTTTATTTCAGATCTTCCCATCTCTACACAGCACTGCAGCCCAAGAAGCTCCCCAGGTTTGGGACAATGAGAGAGGAAAAAATCTGCAGTTAGGAGCCATCAGCTTCTGCAGCCCTCAAAAAGAGCTGTGAGGAAGAGTAAGGAGAAGCCAGAAACTCTTCCCAAATTCAGTACTGGAACATATGGATGCAAATGAGATATATTTTTGGTAACAGAAATTCATTACTATGTATTAAGTACTAAAAGGTGAAATGTTAGTACTATACCCCCAAAACAGGATTAAGACCACATCCTAGGAATTTTCCCCAGGCAGCTAAGGGCTGATACTTGGAAGTAAATCCAAGTTATGCGTTTCAATCTGTGCCTTTGTGGGCAATGAGGGCTGAGGTCAGGACGCTTCTCAGGCTTCCCCACATCCTCCCGACCCCTGGCAGGATGATTCTGCCTTTGTACCCCTTGTGCGTTGCTCTTGGCACAGAAGTGGTCTGCACCAGCATCCGTCAGGTAGACCAAGTGGGTGCGACCTGGCAGCGGTGGCAGGTTGTGCTTCACAGAGAGGCTCACGGCTGCCTCCAGGGCCTGTCGATACCGGGCCAGCAGCTCAGTGTCGAAGTTGCACTGTCTATAGGGCAGAAAAGAGGCAGACACAGCACTCAGGGCTTTTCTGCCTGCCAGTAAGAGGCAGACAGGAGGATCAGAGCTCGCTGCTCAAGTACTGAGTCATCCCCTGGACCTGTCCTCAAGCATAGCTCCATCCTTCCTCAGGCCCTCTGCTCTGCACAGCTGCTTCCTGTTGCCCTGTTCTGCAGCGTCCTCTCTTAGCAGTCTCATGGCAGGAGACGGACTCACTGGGAAAATCACCTGGAAACCAACTGCCACACTGGGCACGCTAACCCATGCTCACTTCCGGAAGGAAGATCTAAGAGCTACCAACTTTTTAACTACATCTTTGAACATCCACACTCTGCTCTTGAGTGAGTCCTATATCTACATCTGGTAAATCTTTCTCATGCCTCTTTTAAAAAAAGAAAGAATAAATACTACTCCTTACTCTAATCACTTGCAATTGAAATGAAAAAAGAGAACTTTCACTCCACCCTACCTATGCAATCATGTTATCAAATAACTAAAAAGCTTTGGTTGATGAGGACGGCTCTTTTTACCTTTCCAGAAAAGAAATATGGGGGAATGATGGAAAACTGGCATTCTGCACCTACTAATAAAGTAACTGGTTGAAGAAAGATCTCAAGAAATCAGCCATTACCCACAGTAAGAGATGAGGCTGTCAACCTAAAAGCATCCATCAATCTTAACATCAGTATGTATTGGGCCATCAAATATTTTGTCATATATATTGAACCCAAGATTTCAGCTATGCTTGTTAAAGTGTTCTACCACTGAGCTAAACCTCTCTTTATCTTTTTGAGACAGGATCTCACTAAGATGATTATAAAACAAATGCCAAATACAATGACATTATATGATGTCACGAAGTTGGCCAGACTAATTTTGAACTTGTAATCTTCCTACCTCTGACCTTGTATTTTATCAAGAGACACAAAAAGTCTGGCAATCTCAGTCAAACAGTCTATACCAGATTGAATTTGAAATTCGTACAAAAAGAAAATAAATCACTGCATTAGAGATTGAGAGTTAGTTTTCATCACATATCAAATAGAAAAAGAAGTGAAAAGATAAACATGATGAAGTAGATAATATGTGACATTTTGGGGCTCCTGCAGCTGGCTTTCATATAAAGACAGTTATATACAAAGAAATATTCAACAAACTTTTCAAAAATGTAAAACTGGGTGTGGTGGCACACACCTGTAATCCCAGCACTCCAGAGGCCAAGGCAGGCGTTCTTAAGACCAGTCTGGTCTCTACAGTGAGTTCAAGGTCAGCATGAACCCTATAGAGAGTCTCTCTCTCAAAAAAAAAAAAAAAGAAAGAAAGAAAGAAAAGAAAAGAGAAAGGAAGAAAGGTAACAACTAAATACAAAATTTAGACCTTGTTTGGATCCTGATTTGTGGAAAACTATGAAATGTCATTTTTTTTAACAACTGGGAAGTTTAAAGATGGACTAGATAACAGGTGATAACACTAAGGAATTATTTCAGTTTTGCTAGCTATACCAATGACTTTCTGATTATATAAGAAAATCTTCAGTTTTTAATAGAGAAGAATAGAATGTAGAGGGATAATATAATATCATTGTATTTGCCATTCATCTTATAATCATCTTCAAAAATGAGAAGTCAAAAAAAGAAATGGGATAAATTCTAATCATTCAGTCCAGCTAACAAGGTTTGTTTTTGTTTGTTTCTTTGTTGTTTTTGAGACAGAGTCTCACTGTGCAGTCCAGGCTGAGGGTGAAGTGCTGGGAGAACAGGTGGGCACCACTGCACCCAGCTTCTGGGTTTGCTTCCTAAATGGCTCTGAGTTCAGCCACTGATTAAAAAGATTCCTGATTACTGGGTCGCATGAGAAATTAGATGAGTTCTGTGTTTATCTCGGGTGAAAATGGATGTAGGATCTGCTGAAGCCCTTGAAAGAACTCAGAGCTTCCACCTGATCCAGCTCACAGAACACACTGCACGTGTCTGTCTTTATGATTCTGTTTGTGATACTGATTTTCATGTGTGTCAAAAGAAATAAGGTGAGTGGTTCAGAAATATAGCAACAGAGAAATAGAAAGAAACACAAACAGGAAGAGAAAAAACCATGGATCAGCAGAGTCCAGAGGACACAGCACGTAAGCACTGAACAGGAAACAATACACAGAGAGTCCATGGGAACCGAGAGGATGATCACAGCAGCAGGGGAAGGCCGAGGCACAGCTTTGGCTTCACCATCTCTAGGACAGTATTAAAAGACAGCAGCGGCTGTGCAACACTTGACAAGAGCCAAGCAGGTGTGAGCACGGGAGGACTGACAGGCACATCTTCACGGAAAAATAGTTCAGAGTCCCCAGGGAACCCCTGAGCCCCACCAGCACACCTCCCTCACCCAGGTGTGGCCCTGGATGATGTGCACACACCTGGCCTTGTGTACTCTCAGCTTCTCCCGCTTGAGCTGTGCATATATCCCAGGGATCATCATTGCTGTTCGAAGCTTCCGGCGACTCAGCGTGCAAAGGTACCGTGGGTACTTCTTGTAACATTTTGAGTTTCTAATCATTATCTGCCTCAGCAGCTTGGTGTTAGAAGGAAAGGGAAGTGCTGTGGGGTGACAGACACACACCGGAGTTAGGCATCCTCTGCTCCCTCATCACATCCCACCAGTGATGGGTTCTGAGCCCAACCCTCAGAGAAGACAGGAGTGTGGCCCCTGCCCAGTCTACACCCTGCATCTGCAAGGCAAGAGGCTAAAAGTAAGGAGTCAGCAGGGCCACCCATTCATGTGGGGAAGGGGTCATGGGAGCTGCAAGATGGGAGATAATACCTTGATTGCTGAGTTGAGTTTCCAGGTCATTGATGGCATCATGGGCATTAAGAAATCTGAAGGGCAACTGCCGACTGTGGATCACCGACTCCTGCAGCATGAGGGAGGGGCGTGAGCACAGGGCCAGGGAGCTCGGGGTTACTAAGGCTGTGACCAAGAGCCTCACTACTCTCTCAGGTCTGCGGGAAGGGAAAGAAGGGGACTGGGGAGGAAGAGGAGATCCACAGAATGAAGAAGGAAACAAAACTCAGCATCTTAGAGCACAGAAGAGGTAAAGAACACTAAGGAGCCAGGCGAGGTGGTGCATGCCTGGAATCCCAGCACTTGGGAGGCTGAGGCCCCTTCAAGGCCAGCTGAGCTCTGTAGAGAGACTCCACCTCAAAACAGAAAGGAAGTGACAGAAGCAGCCCCACTTCTTTGGCAGCAGGCTCACTCTAAGGGGCTCACTGCATACCGCGTGCTGGAGCCGCTGGAGGATGAGCTCGTGGTGGGCAGCGCTGATTCCCACCCGCAGCAGGTTGCGCAGGTTCCGCAGCATGGCCATGAAGGGAAGCTTCCCGCTGTCTGCAGGAGGTGGGCACAAGGTGAGGAGAGGACGGGAAGGAAGAGAGAGATGTCAGAGTCCAGGGCAAGAGGTCCAAGGAAAGTGCGAGGTGGAGAGCGTGAGGGACTCACAGCATGATATACTCCACCCAAATGGACAAGGATGAAACCAGGATGGGCTTGAAATGTGGAGCAAAATTTCCCCAGCACTGTTCATGGGACAGCAGAGTCAGTAAATCATGGCACCACGGAACTGTGGGCTCTGGCCCTGAGATGGGGTTCAACCGGCAAAATGTGTTCTCTAGTTTACGGCACTGGCTTCCAACTTGTCAGATGGCTAAAAACTTGTGCACGTAAATTTGTTTATCTATTGTGTGTATTTGCTATTCATTTAGTTAAGATTTCAATATACACAACTTATTTATAAGAGTGAATATAAATCCATCTTTCAAATAGTTTTCTTGATAATTTTTTTATGAATTTTGGTCAACTTCCTCTTTTTAGGTTTTTGTTTCTTTTTTCCCTCTTTTTCTTTCTTTCTTTCTTTGGGGGGGTGGGGTGGACTGAACCCAGGACTTTCAACCTGAACTACTTGCTGAGTTCTTTTAAAAATTATCTACTTTCAACAACGCACAGTTGCACAAGCCTGCATTCCCAGCACTTAGGAGGCTGAGGCAAAAGGATTGCCTCAACTTAGAGCCTAGCCTGGGCAACACAGTGAGTCTAAGGCCAGCCTGAAGTGCATAGCAAGACCTTGTCTCCAAAAAAAAAAAAAAAAAAATCTTCTTGGGGGTTGAGGATTTAGCTCAGTGGCATAAGCGCCTGCCTTGCAAGCAGGCAGTCGTGAGCTCGATGCCTGGTACCGATAAAAATGAAAAAGACAAAAAAAAAATTAAAAAAGAAAAAATGTTTTTTCATTTTTTGCTTTGGACACAAGATCTCAACTGTCAAGTTGCCTAGACTAGGGTCACATTTGTGAAACTCTGATCTTTTTCTCCACAGTAGGTATAATTACAGTCATGTGCCACCTCACTTGGCTACTTTTTAAATTTATTTTGGGGTTCTTACTTAAACTGATGATCCACTTGCCTCAGCCTCCCTAGTGCTAGAATTCCAGGCTTGTGCCTCCACACCTGGCAATGGCAGCACATTTTTAAAGGTCATGAAAATTTTACTGCAACTGTAACTAGAAGCTTTCAAACTTCTGGAAGTTCTGAGATTCACCAGTCATAATTCTTTGGTGGGGATTCAACCCAGGGCCTCATGCATGCTGAACACTGGCTCTACCACTGACCTACACCCCAGGCAATCTAAATAACGGCCTTTTTTTGAAACAGGATTTTGCTAGTCTCAAATTATCCCAGGCTAATCTCAAATTCCTGGGCTCAATTATCCTACCATGACTTTAGCTCTCTGGGTATCTGAGCATGGCATCACAAACTAGATGGAACAATTAAGTTGTATACATACTGCAAATGATGTTTGGGAACCAAAGAATGACTACACATCTTATGAACTCATGTTTTCCTAAACTGATACTTTGTTTTTCAGACAAGATCTTGGTACGCAGCCCAGGCTGGCTATAAATTGGTGATACTCCTGCAGCAGATAGGATCATAGGTGTGTGTTTGGACATATAGCTAGTATCACATTGGGGGGGGGGGTGTTCTTTTTTAATTTGTTTTGTTACTTTGAGACAAGATCTTGCTATACAATTCAGGTTGGTCTCAGCTCACTATGTGGCCCAGACAAGCCTTGAACTTCAGCAGTCCTCCCACCAGCAGCCCAAGTGCTGGGATCATAGGAGTGCTCCACTTTCCTCAGCAAATACATTTCTGATCCTAGAGATTAGGCATTTGTCATTCAGATTGAGAAAGTCACTGATTTCAATCCCCCAGAAATATTTTTTATAAGTATTTACTATTAACGAGATCTAGAGTCTTCAAAAAAGTTTCTGTGTATTTAACTACATCTTATATTACATTTTATACTTACATGTATGAACCTTTATATACTATGAATTTTTATTTTTCCTTTCATTCTTATATATTTACAGATTGATAGACTGATTGAGGCATATGGGTCTTTATATATAGTTCAAACTGGTCTTGAATTCACTGTATAATCCAGGCTGGTCTTGAACTTGTGGCCATCCTTCTGCCTCAGCCTCTTGAATGCTGGGTTTACAGGCATGCACCGCCAAACTTGGCCCTCATTTATTTTTATCTTTACAGTTAGATTTATACATTGCTATACTTACCTTTTATGCATTTTCTAAAGTATATAATTATTAGTACAAGCATATAACTTTTTAATATATTAAAGTATATTCTGGAGTATTCCAAAAATAATTTTGGCCATGCAAGATCACAAAACTATGAAGTGGGTGTGTTACATATGCCTGAAATCCCAGCATTCTGGGAGAGTGAGGCAGGAGGATCAAAAGTTTGAGCCCAGCTTGGGCAACCTGGCAACTTGGTGAAACTCTGTCACAAAATAAAATACATCTTGGTACAAAGGTCTTGGATTCAAACCTCAGGACCATGAAAAGAAAAAAAAAGTAACTAAAAAAAGCCCTCTAAAGACCACTGATTAGACTGCGGGCATTTGCCTCAGCCAAGATAAAGACAGTTTTCATTTGCAGGGTCAGTAGTTTCTCCACCAGAGAGAGAAGTGTGGACGGTGCATCCACAGAAGCATCCAGTGACACCAGTAGTCACCCCCGCCACTTTATCCCGCTTACCTGAGCTGTGCCCACCACTGGGAAAGAGGCTGCCAGGTGACTATGTGTATGTGTGTATGTGTGTGTATGCTCCAGCTACCAGTATTCTGACACACACACATATCCGGTGACAACCAGGAGGAGAAAGAGACAGAGTGGCACAGTTTTGTTGTCCTGAGTAAAATGCACAGGGTGTGGTGCCCAAAGAAATAAGGCAGAAGACCTCTGGGATTCCACGTTCCAAACAGGGAGTCTGCACAACCCACTCCAAAGGGCCACAGGTACATATTTTTCACCAAAGAGCAACTGACTTTCAAATTGTAGAGATGAAAAAGGAAGCAAAAGGAAACAAAATGGAGGCAGGACTTATCAGTGTGGAAACAGAAAGAATGTTCTAGAGTCAAAAATGAGTAACTGTGCTGGGCGTGATGGCTCATGTCTGTAATCCCAGCACTTGGGAGGCTGAGGCAGGAGGATCATTATGAGTTCAAGACCAGCCTGGGCTACAAAGTGAGCTCAAGGCCAGCCTGAACTGCATAAAAAGACTGTCTTAAAAAGACCAAAAGAAAAAAAAAATGAGTAACTGCTTGGGAGGCTCACTTCAAGGCTAGGCTGGGTGTTACAGCAAGACCCTGTCTCAATAAATAAATGAATGAATGAATGAATGAATGAATGAATGAATGAATAAACAGCTGAGTGGGTGGCATATGGCTGAGGCAGGAAGATCACAAGTTTTAAATCAACCTGGACATCTTAGCAAGTCCCTGTCTCAAAATAAAATACAAAGACCTGGGGAGATCCCTCGGAATTGAATTGGTTTTTTATCAAATTTTTTTCTATAACAAAATGTTTGTCATTAGTACTTGTTGGTAGTATAAATGTTTACATTTCCTGTGGGGAATTGTTACCTGTACATAATATATCTGTCTATTCACCTAAAAGTTCCACATCCTCAAGACAAGATTCTGGAGAGATTCTAATGTACCAAAAGCCAGGTCTACCTTGTTCAGAAGGTAGATATTGATACACATAATAAGCACAGAGCTACCACTTTTGTGACAGGTAAGTACAGTCTTGCGTATCATCCTCCTCTACTGGAATAATAATCCATCTATGATGTCAACACTATTAAAGCAGGGACCACTGTGCACACTGAATGCTCATCTGCAGACATTATAAACCAAATCACCTGCGGTGGTGCAGCTACCAGGCAAGAGAGCAACTGCACCTTGCCACAGAGATATCAGGGTCTGCAATGTGGAGGCAAGAATGGAGCAAAGAGGAAAGAACCGTGATGCTCGAGACCACCCACCAATGAGCTCCTCCCAGACGGAAGCTTTGTTCCCCTGAAGGCTCAGCGCCCGATCCCAGGTCTCTGGTCTCGGCAGCTTCATGCGTTTCCCGGCTCTGCTTGAGTCCCAGGGCCCAGGGAGGCGACTCCGAGAAAAGAGCTGGAGGCTGGAGGGGTACCTGGGACAGAGGAGAGAGAGCCCGTCGTTTCAAAGCAGAAGACAGAAAAGGAAGGGTGAACTGGTCAAAGCCATCTGTCAGTCATGGGTACAGCCCGTCTGCCCAGACTGCTTGTTGAGCACAACCAGGACAGAGGCCATGAATCTGAGTTGGATGGCATCACCTCAGGGGAATGCGGGCTCACCGTGGATCTGCTCACCTGTAGCCCAGCAGGGCTTGGACGTGCTGTGCCGGCTCATGGATATGCAGCCTCTGTACCAACTTCTTCAGGGTGAACTGTGACTGATTCTTTTTCTCTGCCTCAAACTGTAGAAATATCCCAAGTCCCAAGGGTCACGATCTTGGACCTTCTGCAGAAAGCAGAACCTGAGACCACCCCTAGACCTATCAGGCCATCTCCTTCCCCAAATTAGACTTTGCGAGAGGGTAAAAATCTCCGGCAATAAGAGCTCCCCTGATGAGTAAGACAGAAGCTCACAAGCACAGGCAGTGGCAAAAATGCATCCTCGATACTCAGGAGGCTAAAGCAAGAGCACTGCTTGATCCAAGAGTTGGAGGCCAACCTGGGCAGCATGGTTAGACCCTGCCTCAAAAGAAAAAACTCCTAGGAAGCCTGGGGGCCAGTGTAGCAGTATGGACCTGCCTAGCATGCATAAAGGGAAGAGCAGCTTTATTTAAATCAGTTAAACCCTGGTCAGATAAACCGAGCAGCAGCACAATGCAGGCTGGGAAGGATAAAAGGCTGAGAGAATTGAGGAGAGCCAAGTTTGGGCTTCATTAAGAAGATGAGGAGAAGGACCAGCTGACCAACTGGAAATGCGTTATTTTCCTGTAATACTAGTCTATATTTTCCTACAAATGTGTTTTAATATGATAATAGCTTCTACTTTTTAATGCCAGGTATTAATAGAAATACTTTAATTATCTGAACTCCACTCAATCTGGCACAAGGCTCTGGCACAAGGCCCTGGCACCATACTCTGGGGGTGCATCTCAGCTAGCTGCCCAGAAGATCTGAGCTCTGCCCAGCCTAGCATCCCAGAACAATCCACTAGGGGAACACCTGGCCAGCCTCACAGATCACAGAGGTATCAACCCTGCCCAGCCCAGAGCCCCAGAGCCATCCATCAGGAAGTGACCAGCCTAGCTCATGGGTCCTGAAGATTTTGAGCTCTGCCCAACACAGTGCAAGACAATGGCACCATAGTTTAGGAGTGCACCCTGACTAACCACATGGGTATTGAAGGATCAAAGCTCTGCCAGCCCAGCATCCCAGTGCAATCCATTGGAAGGATGCCCAGTCTGCCACACAGGTCCCATAGGAAAACGACAAAATGAAAGGGCAAAATGCAGTTTCAGTCCTCTAGCCTACTAAGAACAATCCCTGAAAACAATGAAAGACATTGGAAATCGCACAACTGAACTTTTTGAAATGACAGCAACGGAAGTAAAGAAACAACTCCACGAAGCTACAGATGAAATCAGATCAGAAATAATTTCCCAGGTTAAAAAAAAAAAGGGGGAATGCCAAACATTATGAAAGAGATGTGGGGTATATTTAAAGAAGATCTAGATTAAAGAAATATAGGAACATAAGAAAGTAATGGAAACTTTGAACAATATAAGACAGAATTAAAATGCATAAAATAGATTTAAAGGGATATTCAGGAAATTAAAATTTCCATTGAAAGCTGGCAAAACTACTTGAATGAAGCTGATGATAGATTCTCAGACTTTGAAGACAGGATGGATACCTATGATCATGAAAGAAAAGATTTCATAAAAACAACAAGGAATGGGCTGGGGATTTAGCTCAGCGGTCTAAGCACTTGCCTGGCAAGCACAAGGTCATGAGTTCAATCCCCAGTATCACCAAAAAAAACAAACAAACAAACAAAGAATAAGAAAACAACAATTCAAAAGCTACAAGATGATGCAAAGAGAAACAATATAAGCCTGACAGGTGTCAAGGAAAAAGCAGGGGTCAACACAAATGACATAATAAGACTGTTTACAGAAATGGTAGCAGAAAATTTTCCAAGCATGAGACAAGAATCTGATATACAGGTAAGTGAGGCATATAGAACCTCAGTTAGCTGTAACCAAATAAACCTTCACCCAGACATATAAAAACAAGGATCTCAGAAATTCAGCACAAGAACTGAATACTAAAAGCTGTCAGAGAAAAGAATCAGATCATCTATGAAGGAAAACCTACCAGAACCATGGCAGACTTCTCAACACAAATCTTCAAGTCAAGAAGAGCTTGGAGTGAAGTATTTCAAGTTTTGAAAGAAAACAACTTCTGTTCATCATCATTACTCATTAGAGAAATGCAAATTAAAACCACACTGAGATTCCATCTCACTCCTGAAAGAATGGCCAGGATCAAGAAAACCACCACCAACAAATGCTGGAGAGGCTGTGGAGAAAAAGGAATTCTCCTGCACTGTTGGTGGGAGTGTAGACTGGTGTAACCATTGTGGAGGTCAGTCTGGAGATTTCTCAAAAAGCTGCGATTGGAAGTTCCATTTGTTCCAGCTATTCCACTTCTAGGCATATTCCCAGAAAAGCTAAAAACATCATATCACAGTGATATATGTGCACCCATGTTTATAGCAGCACAATTTGTAATAGCCAGATCTTGGAAACAGCCTAAATATCCATCAAGTGAGGAATGGATTAAAAAGTTATGTTATTTTTATACAATGGAGTACTACTCAGCTATAAAGAATGATCACATTGAGATATTTATAAATAAATGGGTACAGCTTGAGACTATACTCATAAGTGAAATAAATCAAACTCACATGTATAAATACCGAATAGTTTCCCTAGTGTAAGAAATGGTAAGAATACATAAAAGTATGTGGTAAACAGGATTCTCCATTATATTGCTTTAAAGCCTTATATTGTTTTCATTAATTGGAATGGTTCTATTCTGGGTTGTTTGATTTTATTGTTGTGATGGTATGAACATTTATTCTGAAGAAAACAAGATAATATAATAGCTAGTGCTGATATAATATCATCTTATTTTAAAGTCCCATGAAGCTTTTGTTCTTCTTTCTCCATCGGTTTATCATGTTGTATCTTATTGGATTTTATTATATGTGATAGTATAAACAAAAATTTTTATAGACAAGGAGATAATATAGAAACCATTGTTCATTTTCTGTTAGTTGGTTCTAAATATCCTGTAATGCTTTCATTTTCTTGAATGGTTTTACACTGTCATATTGTGTTTGATGCTATAATATACTAAGTTGTACTCAAATATTTCAAGGAAAGAGACACTATGGTAGCTACTGTTATGTCGGGTTATCTTGTACACTATGTTGCTTAAATTGTTCTGTTCTGATCTGTGTTATTATGTTGTTATGTTCTCTTTTATGTTAATCTCCTTCTTTAATTTTTAATAAAAAAATTTTTAAAAAAAGAAAACAACTTCCAACCCAGATTGATGTACCCTGAAAAACTTTGAAAACTGATAAAGAAATAAAATATTTCCATGACAAAGAACTGAAGAAATTCATTATCACCAAAGCAACAATATAAAGAGTACTGAAAGATACTCTAGAAAGAGATAAAGATGACCACAAGTCCAAGAACAACAGCAGAAGGAAACCACTAAGTAGGGAAAATGATTATACCTACAGCAAATGCAGAGAACCAACAGCAGAAAGATAACATGACAAAGGTAAGTCATTACATATCAGCTATATCCATCAGTGTAAATGGGCTCAACGCACCAAAAATAAGCAACAGACTGCCAGAGTGGATTAAGAAATAAAATCCAACAATATACTGTGTACAAGAAACACATTTAACTCAAAAGGAAATTCATAGAGTAAAAGTCAAAGGATGGTAAACAATACTTCATGTGACAAACTCAGAAAATGGCAGGGTTAGCTATTCTATTTGCAGACAATGTGATCTTCAAACCAAGAATGATCAAAGCAAGGTCACTACATACCTATTAGAGGAAAACTTTAAGAAGAAAGAGATTACAGTCATAAATATGTATGCACTAAATATGGGAGTACCCAACCATGTAAGACAAATCTTAATAGACACAAAAAATCAAATAAGCAATAATACAGTTATAACAAGGAAACTCAACACCCCACTGTCACAAAGAGACAGCTCAAACAAACAAAAAATCAGCAAAGAAATAACAGAACTGAATCAAACTCAAGAACAAGTGAGTGTTCATGAGATGTACACAGATGTGTACAGAGTGTTTCACCCAACAACCTTGGAATACACATTCTTCTCAGCTGCATATAGGTCATTTTCTAAAATAGACTATATACTATCCCACAGAAAATGCTTAAGTAAATGTAAAGGAATTGAAACAATCCCATGCATATTATCTGATCATAGCACTATAAAATTAAAGTTAATGACACAAAAACTACACAAGAATCCCATAGATACATGGAAATTAAATAATGCTCTCCTAAACAACCAGTGGGTCACAGAAGAAACTAAACAATATCTACAATTGAACAAAAATGCAAATACAACTTACCAGAACCTATGGAACACAACGAAAGCAGTCCTTAGAGAGAAATTTATAGTGGTAAATTCCCCCATCAGGAAAATGGAACAAACACAAATAAATAACCTAGTGCTGAACCTTAAACTTCTCAAAAAAGACAATCAAGTCAAGCCCAAAGCCCAAAGAGGCGAGGAAATTATAAAGACCAGAGCAGAAATCAATGTAATTGAAACTAAGAAAACAATACAAAGAATTAATAAATCAAAGAGTTGGTTATTGGAAAGAACAAGTAAAACTGATAAACCACTAGACAACCTTATCAAAAAGAAGAAAGAAAACCTCAAATACATGCAATAAGAAATAAAAAGGGTGAAATCACTACGATCCTATGGAAATACAGAAGATCATTAACACCTACTTCAAAAACCTTTACTCTCATGGGTTTGATAACACAGAAGAAATAGATTCTTAGAAACATATGATTACCAAAGCTAACTAAAAAAAAACGTAAAACTGCTGAATAACTCAATTTCAGTTAATGAAACTGAAAATAATTAGAACCTTAGCAACAAAGAAAAGCCCAGGTGCTGATGGATTCACAGCTGAATTCTACCAATAATTCAAGGCAGACTTAATGCCACCCCTCTTCAAACTCTTCAATGAAATCAAAAGGGAAGCAGTTCTTCCTAAGTCATTCCTGGAAGCAAATATTATTCTAGTACCAAAACCAGAGAAAGACCTAATTGAAAAAGAGAATTACAGGCCAATCTCCCTAATGAACAGAGATGCAAAACTTCTCAATAAAATACTAGCAAATAATACAGCAAATCATCAAGAAGATTATACACCATGACCAAGTGGGATTCATCCCAGGAATGCAGGGATGGTTCAACATGTGCAAATCAATAAACATAATATACCATATCAACAGAGACAAAGACAAAAATCAATGATCATCTCAACAGATGCAGAAAAAAATTTTGACAAAATCCAAACACTCATTCATGTTAAAAAAAAACCCACAAAAAGTCAGAACAGATGGTCTTTTCCTCAATGTGATTAAAGCCATATATGATAAACCAACAGCCAACATCTTACTAAATGAACAAAAACTGAAAACTTTCAATCTAAAATCAGAAACAAGACAAGGACATCCACTATCACCATTCCTATTCAATATAGTTCTAGAAACATTAGCTAGAGCAATCAGACAAGAGAGAGAAATAAAAAGAATAAGGATAGAAAAGGCAGTTATCATTATTTGCAGATAACATGACACTCTACATAGAAGACCCCAAAAACTCCACCAAAAGACGAGAGTTAATAAGCAAATTCAGCAGCATAGCTGGATACAAAGTCAACTGTCAAAAATCAATAGCATTCCTATACACAAACAACAAACTCACTGAGAGAGAAACAATGGAAATTACACTCTTTGCAATAGCATCCCACAAAAATGAAATACTTAGGAATCAATCTAACAAAGGAAGTGAAAGATCTATATATTGAAAATTACATTAATATGAAAAAATAAATTGAAGAAGATTTCAGAAAATGGAAAGACATTCCTTGCTCATGGGTAGGAAGAACAAACATTGTGAAAATGTTTCCCCCATTCCCCCAAAATTGCTCTACAGAGTTAATGCAATTCCAATCAAAATACCATTAGTATACCTCACAGATCTAGAGGAATCATTCCTAAAATCCATCTGAAACCAAAACAGACCTAAAATAGCAACAAAGGCAAGGCAGGAGGCATCAAAATCCCTGACTTTAAATCATACTACAAAGCTACCATGATAAAATCAGCATAAGAGTGGCAAAAAAAATAGACCTGCAGATCAATGGAATAGATTAAAAGATACAGCCACAACTAAAAACACCCTCAGCCACCTTATCTCTGATAAAGGGGTCAAATATGTTTGCTGGAAGAAAGCCTCTTTAATAAGCGGTATTGGAAAAGCTGGCTCTCCATATGCCAAACTAAAACTAGACCCATGTCTATCACCATGCATTAAACTAAAATCAAAAATGGATCAAAGATCTAAATATTAAAACAGAAACATTAAATCTGCTGGAAGACAAAAGTAGGTAGAAATCTTGACGACTTAGGAGTAGGCAGAAATACTTCTCAGAATCAACAACTGGGAGCTCATCTTATTAAAAAGTTTTTGCATATCAAAAGAAATCTCCAACAGAGTGAACAGAAAACCAACGAACTGGGAAACTATCTTAGCCAATTGTCCTTCATACAAAGCATTTCTATCTAGAACACATAAAGAATTTTAAAAATCAGGCCTCTAAAATTCAAAGACCCAATCCAAAAATGGGCATCTGAGACAAATACACAGTTCTCAGAGGAAGATATACAAATGCAAAAAAATATATAAAAAATGCTCAGTATCATTGGTCATTAGAGAAACAATGCTGGGATTCCATCTCACTCAAGAATGAATGGTCAAGACCAAGAAATCAACCAATAACAAATACTAAAGGGGCTGTGGGGGAAAAAGGAACTCTTCTCCAAAGTTGACGAGAGTGTAGGCTGGTGGCAACCACTGTGGAAATCAGTGTGGAGGTTCCTCAAAGAGCTAAAATTAGAAGTTGCATTTGGCCCAGCTATTCCCATTTCTGGGCATTTTCCCAGAAAAATTGAAAATATCATATCATGGTGATATACATGCACCCACGTTTATAGCAGCACAGTTTGTAATAGCCAAATCTTAGAAACAACCCAAACGCCCTTCAAATGAGGAATAGATAAAAAAGATATGGTATTTTTATATAATGGAGTACTACTCAGTTATAAAGAAAGATTGCATCGAGGCTTTTACAGGTAAATGGAAGCAACTTGAGGCCATACTCGTAAGTGAAATAAATCACATGTGTAAATACCATATTGTCTCTCTAGTGTAAAAAAGTGAAAGAGCAAATAAGATCTAAAATCTACAATAAATATTGTGTAAGGATAAGAAACTGCTCAAAGGAGAAAAGTAACTGGGCTGGGGGAAAGAAGGAAGGGAAAAGGAAAAGGATATAAACTTGTCTATATATGTACATAAGGTAGCTAAGATGACTTTATTACTAATTCTATTAGTTCTTGGAAAAGAACAGTTAATACTCATATGATCAGATCAATTTTGCATGTCTATAGTCTGTAATCTAAGCAACCCTTTTGAAGACAACAATATACAATATAACAATCATTGTTAAATTCCTATCATGTTGTTTTGAAAACCTATATTGTTTGTTATTGTTTTGGGTTTGTTATTGCTATTGCTTGTCTCTTTTGCTTTTTGTTTTTCTGTCCTGTCTTTTTTCTCTTAAATAAAAAAGAGTACTTTAATTGCTTGAGCTAATTTTAACAACCCAACAATGTAAATTCTGCTATGAGGAAACTGAGGCAAGAGATGTTTAATCATTTGACCAAGGGCTCAATGCCAGCCATGGAGGTGAGATTCAAACCCAGGTTATGTGAGTTCAGATTCTATGCTATCATCTGTGAGGTAAAGACTTATTTGTCTTAATAGTAAAAAGATTTTGCTTGCTTTTAAATTTCCTAAGAAAGAAAGAAAGATATTTTACACTGCTTGTAATTCATTTATCCCACTAAACATGTCACTGGTCAGTAAAATCCAGAAAACCTGTACATATGCAGCCCCGGGACAAGGGACTCACCTTAACCTGCACTTTTCTAATAGGACACAGGTACCTTGGAAAAATTATTCTCTTAGAAGGCCGAGGCTCCTGTGGGGAGAGGAGAAGCATTTTCACACAGGGAAATGGAGTCTGTCTGTGGGGAAACCCTTGCAATGCCCTCAAGGCCCCTCTCTGACAGGAAGGAAGCCACCTGGGAAAAAGGCCCGCACTGCCCCTGCAGCCCCGCACTCCTCCCAGCATTCTTGGACCTCTCAGCTCCTGCCTGAGGAACATCAAAAGCTTGGTGTAGAACCTCGGGAGCACCATGGTCCTACGTGGCTCCCTTCCCAGAGGAGGGCCTGGGCCATTAGTGAGCAGGGATGAGGCAGGGACTGACTGGAGGGCGCGGTGGTCGGCGGGGGCGACTCTTGGCACGGTGCTTCCGCAGATTGTACTTAGCCAGTTGGTACTCATCGAACTGAGCAAATTTATCAGTCATGGCAGCCCGGAGGCAGGCAGGCAGCGGCACCAGCTTGCTGTCCTCTCCTTTAGCCAATTCCTGTCAGAGAGAGAGGCAGAGAGAGACAGAGAGAGACGGAGAAATCCTCTTTAAAAATAAAAAGACCACGGAGTTACAGAAAGGTATCAAGCTCCTATCTCCACCTCTAAAATCACAATTTCTGGTCAGGTCTGGTAGCAAACCTGTAATTTCAGCACTTCGGGAGGCTGAAGCAGGAGGATCATAAGCTTGCGCCCCTCCCACCCCCAGGACAAATTAGCAAGACCCTGTAACAAAATTAAAAATTTTAAAAAGCTGGGGAGTTGGTCAGGGATTTAGCTCAGCAACACAGTGCCTGCCTGGCAAGCACAAGATTGTGAGTTCAATTCCCAGTACCAATCAAAAAAACAACCCCCCCCCCCAATGAGATAACCTGGGTTTGGAGGCAGATACCTGTAATCTCAGCACCCTAGGAGGCTGAGGCAGGAGGATCACAAGTTAAAAACCAGCCTAACCCTAAAAACCAGCAGCTAAACGACTTTAGGAGATCCTGTCTCAAAATACAAACTGAAAAAGTGCTAAAGATGTAGCCCGATGCAAATGCCTTGGCTTTACAAGGAGGAGACAGCTAGCGAACCAAAAGAGGCAGCCAGCAGGAGTGTCCCCAGGAAAAAAAGAAAAATTTGTTCCAAGGAGGAACCACTCCCCAGTGGGCAAACCAGGAAGCTGCTAGCAAGGGTAGCGCCAAGAAAAAGAAGAAAAAGCTCAATACAGCGCTGCAGGGAGATTACAAGGAATGTTGCCTGGCACTGGTAGAACTCGGGAATCTCATGCCCCACCTGGTAGAACTCGGCGACCTGGATCCAGTCGGAAGGCAAGTGGACGATGGCACAGAAATAGCGTCGCAGGTGGGGGCGGCAGGGGGGCAAGAGGGCAGCAATCGCCAAGACCTTGTTGGCCACATCCCGGAGGTTCAGCTGCTGCCTGGCGTACAAAGATGCCTAGGACACGGGGTGGGCACCTCAGCACCTCTGCTGTAGCTTCCTCCCCTAAACTAACTCACTGTTTGAGTCTGCCTGCACAAAACCTTGCTCTCTCTATTGCAGAGTTTAATGTCCACTTCTCCTAGCCTGCTGCTCTACGTCCTCCATAATTTAGCACAGCAAGAGTGAATCTCTTTGAGCTGTCAGTGAGACACACAGCCCTCCACCGCACACGTGCCTTAGGTTCACCACCCCTTACCCAGCTTTATCCACCTCTGTAGCTTACTTTCTTCTGACTCTACTGACTGCCCTCCAAGTCAATCATGTCACTTCTCCATTCAGAATGCTGCACCAACCAACATCTATCAGACTTATCAAGGGTGTTGGTCACTGACTAAACCTGCCATCTCTCAACCCTCCCAGAAAACACTCTCTCATTTCTCTGCTTTTCCAACACCATTCTGGGAAGTGATCTGCCTTCCTTACAGCCCTGCAAGCTCCCTAACAGCCAGCTCATCTGTTAGTATGACTGTCAGCATACTATCCTGAGTTACGAAGCAAACCAGGCCTAGTATACTTTCCTGACATCATCTTTTCCACGCTTCACAGAACCCCAGGGATGAGGACTCACACTCAACCAGAAATCCTGACCCCTCTCAAGTGACTTTCCTTGTATCTACAACCGGACTCTAGTATTAGCACCCTATTACACACAGTAAGCACACTGCTGTCTCCCAGCCGCCCACCCCAACCCCTCCTTCATCCACAATACCTTCAGGATGAACTCAGGCTCCAAGGGGGCAAGTTTCTTACAGATACAAAGGATGGCATCATCAGTGGAAACATTTGAGGCCACAGTAGAGCACAGTAAGCTCATCAGAATCATCTAGGAGATGGGAGAAGAAGGAAAGGAAGAGTCAAGTAACAGATCAATTTGAACATCTATGCAGAGCTACTTAAAAACTCAGGACAGTAACAATGAACCCAGATTCAGAAAGATATCTGTAACACCGAGAGGCAAGAAAATGGGTATTACAAGCCAGGCATGGTGGGGCCTGGCTATAATCAGCACCCAAGAGCTGAGGTAGGAGGACAACCACGAGATCAAGGTCAGCCTGGGCTACATAGTACGTTCAAGACCAGCCACAACTACATACGGAGATCCTGTCTCAAAATACTAAACAATAACAATAACAACAAAAAGCAAAGATAATTAGGAAGTAACAAATAAATGCTAGGTCATGTCTGTTCCTTCCCCTTCCATGTGGAAAAGAGATCTGGTTCAGATTTCCAATCCCACCATCCCCTCCATCACTACCACCACTGGCAACCTCTCCCCAGCTCTGGCAGTTTCACCTTGTTTTCCTGAAGGTTCTGGTCCGTGGGCTCAGAATGAGACTCCAATGCCTCAGAGGTGAGCTGCGGAGCCAGTTCCTCTGACTCCTCTTCTTCTCCCAAGCTTAGGCTATAAACAGGCATCTGGGCCCCTTCCTCTTCCTTCCCTTCTGACTTTTCCTCTTCTTTGGAACAGCACAGACGATCCTGGGGATACAGGCAGTTAGCAGTCATGGCATGGACCCACAGCCCCTCACACAGAACTAAAAGCAGCTCCTGGAGACGGGAAGGGCTCACCTCTCCATCTGACATCTGTAGACTCCTCTCCCCTCACCCCAGCGTCCAGCAGCTCTGACCTGTCCAGTCTCCACTTGGTGCTCGCTCACTCGCAGCCTCTTTCCCTGCTCAGCCCTTCAGCCTTGGCCCGGAGGCTTCCAGATCTCCCTGTTCACATCCTTACTAATGTCACAGCCTGGGAGACTGGGGCCCCTCGCACACCTCTAGGTACACTACTAAGATATTTTTAGAACACAAAGAGCCACTCCTGTGTGAAGCCTCAGAAACTCTAAGCCTCTTAACCTCTCTGAAGCTCAGCTTCCTCATTCACCACCACCTACCTGCTGGGACTGTTGGAAAATGAGCTGGAATAATGCACTCACACGACTCTGAAAACTGCACAGCCCTAAATCACTCTAACAGGGCAGGAGTTGAAAGCCTGACAACTCTGTGAAGGGCATTTTCAGACTCCATTTTAAAGGTGAGGAAACTGATGCCATGAAGTGTTCTGAGTATCTCCCAAGGCCACACACTTTGTAACTAGCAGACAGCATGGAGCTCAGGTTCACTGTCCCTGAGCCCAGTGTCCAGTCTACACAGAAGCAACGTGTGCTCATCTCCCAACTCTGACCTGGGTACACAGCATCCAGTGGACACGAGTTTACACCAGGATTCAGAGGGAAGGAAGCTCCAGAGGGCGGATGCATCCCTCCCTGATCTCAATAGCACCGCTCTGACCCTGCTGTAGCAACATCACGCCAGCTCCTCCCTGAGCAGAGGCTTTCTATGACCAAGAGCTGATTCTGATCTGTTGTTCAGAATCTCTGAGCTAGAGGAAGACAGATGTTGAGGGTGATGGGTGTGGGGTAAAGAGGTGCTTAGAAGGGCTACACAGATACACAGCAGCCCACAGAGAATTGAGGTACTAAACACTACAGATAACAGCATACAACAGATATGTCTAGAGTAAAGACAAGTGTCTGGGGCTATTACCAAACGCAATACCTGAACTGTCTCTACAGCAGACAGACACTGAGCCGTCCTGCTGCTCGGGGCCTCAGAGGGCAGGCATGTGCTGGTGTGCAGGCTGCACAAGTCTGCATGTGGCCTGTGCGATAGCTGGAGACGCTGGAGCAAGGAGCTGGCAGACACACTGCTCTTTATACCAGGGAAGGTACTCAGGCACTTGTTCTCCAAGGACAGGATGTCTGGGTGGGCAGCCACATGTCCATGTGGTTTTTCTGTGGACTTCAGGTCAGAAATTCTCGCCAGGCACTGGTTCTTTAAGGAGAGGATGTCTGGGTGAGCAGACATATATCCATGAGGTTTCTCTGCAGGCTGTAAGTTAGGAAGCATGGCCAGGCACCTGTTCTCCAAAGAGAGGATGTCTGGGCGGGCAGATACAGACCCACGGCCTTTCTCCATGGCTGCAGCCCAGCTACAGAATGCACCTAGAAGGAAAGACAGACAGTTGCTGAGCACTGGCCTCCAGAGAGAGCCTCTGAGCACTGGGAATGAATCTTTCCCCTTGGTCCTGCTGGTTATACCAGTGACCTGCACACAGAAAACAACCAATAATGATTTTCCAGGATTGGGATTATCCAGGGGATATTCTAAGGAATAGGGCTAAAAAGGACAACACAAAAAGTTTACAACAAAGGAAGTGTTTGATAAAGGGGCAGCTGAATGAAGGAAAGATATGTCTTCTCATACGGTGGTAAAGGATATCTGTGTGGTCCTAACTACATAGAAGGGGCTCACTTATAATCTGGATTTGGATTCTTAGCTCCATGGAAACAACATTTTGGTCAAGCTGTGTATGTTCACCCCTAAAACTTCCTTTGTTTGTTTCAGCTATGGGACAATGAGCCGGGGCCTCCCACCCAACTATGTCCCTAGCACTCTGTTTTTGTTTGTTTGTTTAAAGCTTTATCTTAAGGTCTCACTAAGTCACTAGGTGCTGAAGCTGGACTTCACTTGCAGTCCCACTGCTTCCACCTCTTGGGACTGCTGGGATTACAATGCCTGGTTTCTATTCACTCATCGTCTTTACTAGCAAGGGAGGGGAGCCAAGACCCTTTCCGTTCCTCATATTGAATGCAGACTACCCATCTTACGGTGCAGCCCTCAAACCCTTAATTCCAGCATCAGACCAGAAGTCAATCACAAACTCTAAATTCAGCCACCTTGGTAATGCTTACCCCCCACGACTGCATGAGGCTTTTGGCAAGGGTTAGACACAAACTGTAACACTCTTCAACCAACTAAATGAGATTGTGTCCACCAAAACTGTCCTCTTAGACAACTAATAGATTTGTTGTTATAATATGAGTGGATAGATACATCTTGGCCCCTAATTTAATTTCTTGAGTAGACTATGCCACCATTTGCTCATTTTCTTACTGAAACACTCGTATCCTTTGGTGTCCACAATGATGCTGTCCAATACTCCTCTCATAATTCTAGACACATCTTTTTGGGGATTTTTTCTCACCATTCCCTAACACTGATGTTCCTTACTCTTCCATTTTAATCCTTCTAAATACTTTCCTGGGGTAGTCTTATTGACAGTATGACTCCAAATAACCTTCCTATACTGACAACTCAAATTCAATCCCCAACCTGCATTTTCTCCTGAGCTTCGTAAGGCACTCAATTATCCATCAGTCTGTGGGACAACTCTACTTGTGTAACTCAAAGATACCCAACATTCCACAGATGGAAACATCATCACTTTTCCCTCATTCCTACTTCAACCTCAAATCAATTCGCCCTTTTTCGTCCCTTCTGTTCAGAAGAGTTTGGAGTGAGACACGCCTAGGTTTGACTCCTGTCTCCCACATCCTTGGGTCTTGGGAAAGTTAAATTCTGTGAGTCTCAGTTTCCTTTGCACAAAATTTTTAAAAATGACTTCCGGGAGAACATGGCGGATAGTTAACAACAACTACCGGAGGCTCTCTGAAAGGCTCGGCTCAGAAATCAGGAATGATGCGGACTAAGGAGACATGAGCCAGTAGAGATATGCTCTGCTGACTCAGGAACAAACTGGGCTGAGAGAAACCAACTTGGAATGCAGTCCTGGTGCTAAAATAGGAACAGAAAAGTCTCGGTGTGGAGGCTGGATCCCACGCCATTGGAAACCGCGGTTTGGATTTCCCGCCGCTTGGCGGCTGACTGCCTCCACAGCAGCTCGGCAAGGAGAGACGCGCAGAAGCTCTGGGAATGGGAGTCTGCAAACGGAGTCGAAAACAGGACGGACAAGGAGGCATACACTGACTGGTGGCGAGGTGAGTGAGAGAAACTGACACTCCACCACAGTTTGACTCCAGTGGAGGACTTTCTGGGCTTGGGCAGTCCTGTAAGAGCAGGGCGCGGTGGCGACTCCAGCCACACATTCCCCTCTCGGACGGGATTGGTGAAAAGTGCCTGGCCTGCATGACGCTGCGGGCGGACTTGGTAGGCTGGCCTAACCCAGATCCCAGAGCCTGACGGTGGCCCGGAGGGGTGACTCCCGCGTAGGCTGCCTAGTCCGTAACTCCCTGGTGTGCAGCAGTGGGCGGGAACACCTAGCCAGCGCAATTTGATCAGGCTGTGGCTGACAGGCAGGGAAGCTGGGCCTCCTATGTAAGCTTGCATTTTATAAGGAACGGAGAAAATGGGGAAGGGAAGCAACAAGAAAGGCTCCTCGGCCCCCAATTCTGAGAAACAGGCAATAGCGGACACCGCACCAATAGACATTAAACGCCATCTAGAGAGCCTCATAGACCAATTCAGGAATGAAGTTATCAACAACCTGAAGCTAGAAGTATGCAGAATAGTTAGAGAAATGCTAAGCACCACCCAGGAAAAAACAGATGGTGGAATGGAAGAACAGAAAAAGAGGGGAGAATTGTTTGATGGAGAAAACAGAGAAAGCATAGAGTACGTGAAGCAGGTTCAAAGGGACTATCAAGAAATTAAGAAGTCTATCCAAGACTGGCATAACAGCTTGAAAGAAACTAAGGACAGACTATCTGAGCTGGAGGGCAGACTTGTAATATGGGAGAATGAAATGAAAAACTTCTTAAAAATAACAAAGAAACAAACAGCAATAATACAAAGACAAGAAGATGATAAGAGGAGCCATAACTTAAGGATTAAGAACATAAAAGAAGAAGTAGGGACACAAGCAAGTGAACTACAAAAGCTACTCAGAAATAATCCAGGAGAATTTTCCTAATTTAGCAAAAGGTAAAGATACTCAGATGTATGAGGCATACAGGACCCCAGCTACCTACAACCCTAACAGAGAAACACCCAGGCATATAATAATAAAAATTCCAGAAATTCAATACAAGAACAGAATATCAAAAGCTGAAGAGACAAGAAACAGACCACTTACAAGGGAACACCCATCAGAATTACAGCAGATTTCTCTGCACAAACCATCAAATCACGAAGAGCATGGGGGGAAATAATTCAAGCTTTGAAAGATAATAATCTCCAGCCAAGATTGAGATATCCTGCACAACTGTCCCTGGAAATTGATGGAAAAACAAGGTGCTTCCAGGATAAAGAGGAACTGGGGGAATTTGCAACCACCAATTCAACTCTACAGAAAGTATTGCAGGATATTCTAAAAAAAGAAAAATACAAAGAACCCAGAAATAGTGGCGGGGAGGCCACAATGAATGGAGCAGAGAACAAAATGAAGAAGACAAACTGACAGCTACTGACAGAAAAAGAGCTCAACAGAAATGAGACAGAGAAGATTGGATGATAGGAACAGCTATTTTAGAGAAAATGACATCTTAATAGGTAATACTGATTTAGTATCATCTTGTTTTGAAGTCTCATCTAGCTTTTGTTCTTCTGTCTCCAATGGTCTAAACAGGTTGTATCTTATTGGATTTTATTATGTACGATAGTATAAGCAAAAACCTTTTAAAGACAAGGAGATTATACAGAAACCATTGTTCATTTTCTGTTAGTCGATTCTAAATACTCTGTAATGCTGTCATTCTCTTAAATGGTTTTACATTGTTTTGATATACTTAATGCTACAGTATATGAAGTTGTACTCAAGGACTTCAAGGAAAGAGTCAATATGGTAACTACTTTTAGGTCGGAATTATCTGGTGGTGAAACACTATTTTGCTTAAATGGTTATGTTTTGATCTGCGCTGTTTTGCTGTTATGCCCTCTTTTTTCTCAATCTCCACTCCATTATTTACTTTTTTATTTTTATCTGTTTAATTAAAGGGAAAAAATAGCAGGATATAATATAGTAACCCACTTTGACTTTCTATTATCTCGATTTGAAGCCCTGTATTACTCTCACCATCTTGTTTTTGACTGATGTTCCCCTATTCTGTTTTGATGGATAGTATCAGGTTCGAAAGTTTAGGCATCAGCTGAGAAGATAATGAGATTCATTATAACGCCCATTCTCGTTGACTTTTATCTACTTTTGAAGACCTACAATGTCGCCAATGTTTTGGTTTTGTCGGTTTTGTTCTTTACTATTTTGTTCAATTGTATTATAACTAATGATATAGGTAATTCTATTAGAGATAGCGGGAGGCATTATGGTAACCATTGATGATCACCTTGTATTATGTTTTTATATTATCTATTATGTCCACCCTTTTGACTTGACCGATTCTGTCCTGTTATGTCTCATTTGGTTTTACTCTCTTCCAAAAAAGCAATAAGAACCGTGGGAGCAATGAAACCCAAAATGTGTAATAGTCATTGTACAAAAGAGAGGAAAAGAAAGTGCTCTAAACTATATAACTGCATGTATATTTAAGTGTATAAGACAGAAAATGATATCACAGAGTTTTATTGGATCATTGAACAGAACTGTTTGCAGTATCATTGTTGGAATGTCCACTCTACAAGCTTTAATTTTGTGACTTGAACAATTATTTTTAAGATGGCAATATGTAATCCATGAACTAGTGATTTCCTACTGTTCATTTTTTTCTTCTGTAAATCTGTATAACTTGTACCCTTTCACTTTTTTTTTCTTTTCTCCTTAAATAAAAAAAAATTGACTTCTAAAATTTTTAAAAATGCTCATCTCATCAAAATGCCATAAGATTAATGAGAAAAATATACAAGGCTCTTGTGGAAGCATCTTACTTGTAGGAGATATTTAATAGAGGTTGTTACTTATTATTACCCAAGAAGTGACTAAATATTGATCCTATTCCCTTGACCTCTCAGATGTTATGCAATTTTCTCCATTCTTCGTGCCACTGCCTATATAGAAACCTCTAATCCACGTGACAGGTGACTTACTGTATGCAGAGCTGCCTAAAGAGCTTGCTCAGAAACACCCCAGCCACCACCTATAAAAGACAGTAAACTGTTTATTATCTTTATCAAAATTTAGAAAAAAACATCTTATTTGCTTCTTTGTGAAATCAGTCACAGTCTCTCCTTATTGAAATAAAACTCCTTGAAGGGTACCTTTGTCTCATCCTCTCCTGTATCCCAACAATCACGCACTGGATCTAGCTTCTGATGGCCTCCCAGCCTCATCTCTTGCTGACCCCTGCCCCAATCCAACTAGAGTACTTTAAACCTCAACCACAGAATTGGTGAGCTGTCTCCTGACCCTGGGCTTTTGCACAGGCAGATGCTGGAAACATTCTTCTTACTGGTAACACCTCTCCCCTATCCTTCCTCCACCAGGCCATAGGCAGTGTACTTTCCTCTCACATTCTTCACTAAGAGCCTCTGGGACACCCTGAGCCCCTTTAGCATAGCTGACCTCTCCAGGTTCTCTCTATGCCTGCAATTTCCTTATCCTAACACGTCATCTGCTTCTCTTTTGGCCACTAGACTGTAAGTTCCTGGAGCAAGACGATCCTTTTGACATTGTGCACCACTGTTTCTACAATTCCTAATACACAGAATTTAGAGGCTTTTGAAAATCTGGTACCAAGCTTTTTCATAACAGGTGAAGGATTCGGTCTATGTACTCTTCAGTACTCAGTTTTCAGGACGTCAAGGCACACCATTCTTAGATTTCCCAAAATTTCTGTGAACTCTGAATTAAGAACTTTTCCCTGTGGGAATGATTGAAATATGCCATTAGGAATGTATTAACTTACTTGTTTATTTGGATATCAATTTATCTCCCAATTCAATTTAAATATTTTAGGAATAACATTAGTAAGTAGGCTTCTTTGGGGGGGGGGTACGGGGGATTGAACTCATGACCCAGCGTTTGCCAGGCAAGTGATTATGCCGCTGAGCTAAACCCCGGCAGTAACATTAGTAAGTAAACCATCTAATTGCAGTATATGAATAAGTTTATGGACAAATAACTTCAGTAAGTAAACGACTTAAATCTTATGAATAGGATAATGGACAAGAAGGTAGAAAATTTTGAAGACAACTTGAGTGAATTAACAGTCCAGGACTAGGAGAAAAAACAAAAACAAAAACAAAAAACAGCAACTCACAGGACATCAGTGTAGACAAACACTTCAAGCATGGTGGCTGGCAGGGAGCTCACCTGATATAATCCCAGCACTCTGGGTGGCTGAGGCAGCTCTGCAAATTCCAGCCCAATCGGGGCAATGCACTGACTTAAGTAAGACCCCGGTTTAAAAAACCTGATGGCTTCTGTCATCTACTTTAGAAGCTGAGGTACAAGGGTCCAAAACCAACCAGGTTAACTAAAAAAAACTCTGCCTCAGAATAAAAAATAGCTCCGTGATAGAGGCCCTAGGTTCAATCTCTAGTACCATCAGGAAAGAGATGGTTTCTGTGCCCTATGTACTTCCCTATTGACTTTGCATTATATGACACCCCCCCCCCCGCCTCCGCCCAAGGAATGAGCAATCTCAGAATTAGTGTAACGCAAGGTTACAGAGGAGAGGGCCTCAAAACCAAAGTTAACACAACTCTAAGGTCCCTGGCTTTCAGCCTGGAGTTCTCAACAAGGGATTCGCGAGATCACACCTGAAAACTCCCCCACTTATAGTCCCTTTCCCTGAGGGGAGCACTGCTGAGGTCCACACGAAGGTTCACGCACTTCCCTGCACTTTTCCGTTCACACCTCCACCGCCGTGGCCTCTTTTTCTGATGCATTACACAAACAGGCCCGTACTCTAGCTCTCTTCTGGCCCGAGGAGACCCTGGAGCCCTGGCGGTGGCCACCCCAGCTCGTCCGGCAGGCCGCGGGCAGCGGAGCTCAGGGGCACAGCTGGGCTCCAGGTCACACAGCGCGCACGGCTGCTTTCTCCTTCCTCCAGGGTGCGCGCGGGGGACAGGCAAGTGGGCGCCCCTCCTCGGGGTCCCCTTCTCGCTCCGCTCCAGGGTCCCGCCCCGCCCTCTCCTCGCCCTTCCCACCCGGTCACCCCTCTCACACCCCCGCCCCGCCGAGCCCCGCCTCTGGCTCGGGCGCTCACTCCCCGACTTGCACCCCGCGTCTGCTTCACGGCCCGCACCCGGGCCCGGCCAGGGCTCGTTCTACCTGCTCTCGGGCCGACTCGGAGGGGAGCTGAGAGCCCGCGGAGGGCGGCCGGGTTCCGGCAGCCGGAAGCAGAAGTCAGGCCGGGGTTCGCTACCACCGGGAAGGGTGGGAACCGGAGGAGGGACCAGGCGGGGCGGGGTGGCGCGGCTCCTGGCCACGGGAAGCCGGGTCGGGACGCCCCGGGGACGCCTGCAGCTTCTTCGCATGCTGCACTTCAGTTTTTTCTTCTGTCTTCGTTTTCTCCCCTGGTTCTCTTTGCCCTCCTTCAAGGCTTTTCTCTGTGCCACGTTCACTTTCTCCTTAGGAAATTTCTCCCCCTCCTCCTTTTGCATCTCTTGAAAGTAGTTCAAGGAGAATCTGTCCTTCGGCTGCCTATCTGTGCACTTTCCCCTTATGGTGTCAAAGATATGGGACTCTTCATTCATGCTAAAACTTCTTGGGGTACGTGGAATTATAAGGAAACAGAGAGTGGGCGCAATAGTTTGCATCCAAATGCAGACGTCACACACAGTAGAGTGAGCTCAAGGTGCACGCTGCTCTCCTAAACGGGATCTGTGGATTGCAAGGCCTCTCTGCAGCCCTGGAGAATGGGCTCAGGGGAGTCTGCGATGCTGCGCCTCTGTGGACCCAGGCGAGGGATTGGGTTAATCGTCAGCACTGCGAAAACTACGAATAAAATAACTAACATGGGCCAGTGTCCCAGAAGCTGGGACCAGACTAGTGGCTCTCAGGGTGGTAATCCTAGTGCTGTTTCATAAAGAGCAGGACCAGGCAGTAGCAGAGCTTGGCTTTCCTCCTCTGTGTCTTCTGGAAACTACCACTGCTTTCCTCAGGGGACACCCTTGAGACTCAGGTGGGAAACTGAGTCCTTCCTCAGATTCCTCTGTCACCACCAGCCCCATTAATCTTTATAACAGATTTACAAGTTTGTGTCTCTCACAGAATTTACATGTTGAAATAACAATCTTACTGATTGTGCTTGGGGATGGCTCCTTGGGAAGCAGTGAGTTCATGAGAGGGGAGCCCTTGTGAAGGGATTAGTGGCCTCATAAGGACAGCATTGGTTATCTAGCTCTCTTTCTGCCTCTGCTTGAGAGCATGCAGTAAGTTAGCCATCTGAACCTAGAAGAGAGCACTCACCAAAACCAGACCACACCGGTATCCTGATCTCAGGCTTACAGCCTCCAGGGTTGTGAGAAATAAATTTGTTGTGTAAGGTACTTATCAATGGTAATTTGTTCAGCAACCTTCTTTGAAAAGAAATATTTTATGCTTCTTTTCTCAGCCTGAAAAACGATTCATAAATAGTAACCCAACACACAATTTTAATCTAGACAGGGTATCTGTATGTAATCCAAGTTGCTAAACATTCACTGTATAGCCCAGGGTGGCTTCCAACTTGTGGTGATCCTGTTCCCTCAGCCTCCTGAGTGTTAGGCCTAGAGGCTTGCATCACTATGCCCAGCTGGTTTTTTCTTTCCTAAATTTAATTATCTCAGAGCACATCTCTTTTCCTACATTTAATAAATGTAAAATCTCACTACCTTTTGTGCTTGTTTTGTCCAAATTTTTCTTTAGGACAAGAAGAAGCTAGAAAGCACCTCTAGAAGGAGTCCTCAGTACCCCCAAAACCTGGCAACAAAGGTATTTGCGTTTCATACTTTCACTGTATACATATAAATTCAGAATTTGTCCTCCTCCACTCTGATTTAGCAAAGGTCTATTAAGCACCTATCAAGAGGAGAGGATAATACTAACAACTGAAAAATATGTAAAACAGGCCTTTTTCTCAAAGATTTATGGTCTACAGATACCTGTAGAAGCCACAAAGCTCAATACAGATCAGGAAAAGTGCTGTATTAGATTGAGGAACCAAGGGCAGGTCATGTAGGTAGGGAGAAGACCTAAACAACTTCCTGGAGGAGATGAACTCTGAACAGGGAAGGGCAAGTCTGTGATAAGCAACTAAGAGAGGATTGATCAATGGGGAGTGGAAAGGCCATTAGTCTCATGTGCTTTTTTTTCTCATTTTTGAACAACTTCTTTTAAATTTGCCATATATGTGTATAGTTAATGTAACAACTATAGAGCATCATGGAACTGACAGTACATGGACAAGCACTTGCTCAATAACCATGGCAACCTGGACCTTCCTAGGCCCTTTGAAAGCAGCAGCTTACAAGAACATCTGATCAGGGTTTTTTGCATCTGATTCCTCGACTCAAAACAACACTGTATTTGATTTCTGCTCTGTTGACTTTTCCATTTTATTTCTTCATCTTCCTTCAGGAACATTCTTCACTGACTGATGATCTCCCTTGTAATTTTGGTATATATAAAGGAAGCCATAAAGCCCACTTGTCTTCTCTTTTGAGAGGTGGAATCTGATGCCTGATTTCTTGAATCCAAGCTGTACTGGTGACTTAGTTGACTAAACAGTACGTACAAAGCAGAAGTCTTGAGCCCTCCACATAAGCCCACCTACCAACTGAAGCTCTCTGTGACACATCAATCAGTGACACATAGAACACAAGAAGCATGGGATATGCTGCTGGCAAACCTTTTGGTTTCATTGATTATAAACCCCCCAGGTGCAGCAGGCATGACTCAAGTTTGCACCACTGATCCAGTGGAGTCCTGCTTCAAATTTGGGAAGCAATACCCCTTAGGTGAGCCATTGTCACCAATAGTTAGAAAATGTTAGGTAAAAAATTCCAGAAATAAGAAATTAATGAGTTTTAAATAATTTTTATCATATTGTTGCAATTTTTTTGAAACTTGGTCTTGCTATTAGGTCAAGCTAGACTTGAATTCGCTATGTAGCACAGGCTGGCCTTGGATATTCAGCAGTCTTCCTGCCTCAGTGTCCCAAGTGCTAGACTACAGCCACATACTACCACAGCCGGCTATAATTGTTTTATTTCATTATTAGTTGCTGTTAATCTCTTACTGTTTCTACTAGATATGAAATTTTATCATAAGTATGTACTATATAGAGAGGAAAAACCTGTATAAATAAAATTGGATAATGTCCCAGACTTGAGGCAACCACTAGGGATCCTGGAATGTATATCCCATAACAAGAGAGTATGATGATATTCAAATGCTTGTTTTAGGAGCACTTGGTGGCATGTGCCTGTAATTCCAGCAGTTGAGGCAGGAATATCATGGGGAGTTCAAGCCCAGCCTGAACCACCCAGAGATCTTGTCTCAAAAAAATAATTAATCAGCAGCCATATCCTCCCCTGAAATAAATGCAGTGAGGTTACGCTTTCCTACTCAGTTCACAGGACCACAATTAGGATTCCCAAATCCAAGGAAACATTGAGGTGCAGTGAAAGTTTCACCATGGTTTCCCTCGGGTAGCAAGGCTTTGTAATCAGGGAGATAGTGCATAAGATAATTAACAAATTGAGTGTATTATCCATACATACACTCCCGTACTTCTGTCTTTTGCATAAGAATTTAACAATCAACTTTGCTGCCATCCTGGGATTTACTTGAAAAGGATCAGTCCTTGCTGTCTGAATCCCAGCCATTTGGTAACTTCAGCACATGCTCCTTGAATATTAACAAGTATGTGTTCCAACAAAGTATATAAAATGTTAGAGGCTGGCCAGGCATGGTGGTGTATGCCAGTAAACCCATCTCCCTGGGAGTCTGGCCAGGAGCATCATAAATTCAAAGCCAACCTGGGCAATTTACTGACTTAGCCAGACTCTGTCTCAAAATTTAAAAAAGGGCTGGGGTATAGCTGGGGTGAGAAAGCCTCGGGTCCAGTTTCCTAGTACAGGAATATGAATGCTTCTGTTGGCAAACACTTCAGTTAGCAAAGTGTTCAGCAAGCTTTTGCTTCCATTCAGAAACTCCACTGCAGGGGACGAGTATGATCACAAACGTCTTCTCCACACAAGCAGAAATGCAATCATCTTCCCCAAAACCATACATCAAAATAAGTTCATAAATGGAGGTGCCATTGTATCACCAAAACCAAACAAAAACCAAATAAATCAGAAGCTATTTGGCTGACAGTCGAATTTGTTCCTTTCCCTCTCCCCCTTCCTCCTTTTCTTCTCTCTTTTCCTCCTTCCTGCTCCTCCATCTTTTCTTTTGAGAGAGGCTCTCCCGATGCTGCTCAGGCAGGCTTTAAACTTCAGACACAAACACTCTTTCCTCAGCATCCTCCTCAGTGCTAGGACCACAGTCATGCACCACACCACACAACAGAAGTATTCTTATTATTTATGTTTCTTTGATGCTAGAGATTGAACTCAGGACCCTATACATGCTATGCACACTTTACCACTAAGCTACACTCCTAATCTGGGTGGAAGTACTCTAGATATGTACCCACAATAAAAATTAGCTACTAAATTTACTTTGGTCACACACTTTAGCCAACCTTGTTACCAGGGATGAGCCTCTGAGTTTCTCTTACTTGTTTGTTTATTTATTTTCTGGCATTAGAGATTGAACTCAGGACTCTTTCACTGAGCTACATCTCCAACTCTTTATTTCTAATTTAGAGACAGGTCTCACTAAGTTGCTAAGTTGCCTAGCCTCAACTCAGACTTGTGATCCTCATGTGTCGGCTTCCCAGAGTGCTGGGATTACAGGCATGTAATGCCATCACAATTACTTTCCCCACTTTTTTATTTTACATTTTATTTAGTTTACTTATTTTTTTGCAACCAGGAATCGAATTCAGGACCTTGCGTTTGTCAGGCAGGCATTTGTGCTATTGAGCTATATCCCCAGCTCCCCCAAGTTTTTTAAAACAGAATCTTCTATGGAGCCACAGCTGGCTTTAAGCTCATTATGGAAACCTGGTTGTTCTCAAACTCACAGCAATCCTCCTGCATCAGCCCCCTAAGTGCTGGAATCTCCAGTGGGTGCCGCCAAACCTCGTCTCACAGCTGGCTCTTGCTTTCCCCTTAGACTCAGTTTGGAAGCAGCTGTGAGTGCATTGTGTATGCAGTGAGGGGTCTTCACTGTTCCTTTAGCTTTTGCCAAATCCACGAAGAGAAAAAATAAACCCATCTGGCCTAAAGAGGAGAGACTAGAACATGTATTGTAATTCAATAATGTCTTAGTACTACCTATTGAGAGATCCTAGGTGAGGAGCTCAACGGCCTAGAGGGCCTGAACAAAGTCCTAACCATCCCACTTGCAGCTTGCTAGCACCTTTCAGCACTGGACACAACGAAGCATTTGCACTTTGCTGTCTACTCATCTATTTCTCATTGCACAGTTGGCCCAAGTAATGCACGATGGCTTGGCCAAGTTCAGCCAGCTGAGACAGAGCTGGGACTCCTGGCCCAGCCTCATGAATGGCTGCAATTGCATCTGTTCCCTGTGCTGTTTCTTCAGCATCCTTGTCTGCCGATGGACAGTGTGTGACGCAGTGCTGCCCTGGAGAGCTTTTACATGAACACGGTGAAGGAGGTTGTCAGCAGAGGATCGACTTACCTCAAAACAATATTACTAAAAGCAGGACTCTTGATCTCACATGAAATTTGAGTGTGACTTTTAAGTGGATAGGGCATTGGCAAGTTAATTTTGCACCTTAAAATAATAGATTTGGGGAAACATTTTAAAGCCTTGGTGGGATAATAAAAGAAAACACAAAATTCAAATCTTAAAACAAATTTTTATCATTTATATATAATTTTATTTTATTTTAAAGGGGATAAAAATAAAACAATAAAATGGAACAAAACGAAACAATGAGAACAATACTGGATTTCAAAAACAAAACAAGGAAATCCTCCATAGTTGCTATTTGTATATGTTTTATTTAGTTTTAAAGGGAATAAAACAGAGCAATAAAACATCAAAACAGCGATAAGGCGGTAGGAAATCTACAGTAGTTACTATACTGCATGTTGTTGTCCTTTAAATAGATGCTCCGCTTTAGGCTTGCAAAATCAATCAAACAATTGTTATCCTCTAAATAGATGCTCAGACTACCAGCTTTAGGCTTGCAAAGTAAATCAAACTATATAAGCTTTAAGTTCTTATTAATTTCAGTTGCTATCATCTCATCCTATGTTTCTCTGAATCAGCTGGCTGCTTGAAGGGGATAGGCTCTTCTTGTCTCCTGGTCTACATGCCAGCTGCCTCTCAAGAGGGCACAGCTTGGCTTCTTGGTTCTTCTCCCAGCCACGACTGTCGCTGGCTCACAGGAGGATGTGGCTGCCACTGGCTCACAGTACGGCACAGATTGGCTTCTTGTTTCTGCTCTTGATCCACAACTGCCGCTGGCTCCATAGAATTTTAACTGGTTTCAAAATAGTCTTTTTCTGGGCTTTATCTGTATAAGTTAACTGATTAACTTCACGTATCTTTCACTCTCCATTTTTGGACCTTTGTAAGTATAGTGGCTTCTCTTTTTTTAAATTTTTTTTAGTTTTAGTTTTTTGTGCTCAAGGGACAAAATCCAAACTTTTCAGGGGTCTGAGGCAGAGAATTAAAAGTTTGAGGCCAGCCATTTTTTCAGTGCTTCACGGATATGAGGAAAATACTCTACCCCTGAAGTATATTCTCAGTGCACACCCTAGTAATTACATTTATGACATCAGACAATTTTTCCTTTACCAGGATAATCAGGGGAGATCTGGAATTCTTGGCCACCATCTTGGAATAATCTGAGATGTGGGTAGGAAAGTATAGTATATACTAAAACAAGATTGTTGAACTGTACACCATGGAGTGCAAAGCTCTTGTGTTTAAATCCTCCTCTGCTGTTGATTGACAGTGTGACCAAAGGTGCAAAAGAAATTAGGTTAGGACTGGGAGTGTAGCTTAGCGGTAAGTACATGGTTAGCATCTGTAAAATCCCTAGGGGAAAGTGAGAAAGAAAGGCAGAGTGAGACAGAGACAGAGAGTGAAGAGTAATCTCGTAAATCTTGAATATGATCAGGACTGGTTCTTGATTCTTTTTAATTCAGATAATGCTGATGGCAAAGAGGTCAGATACAACCCTCTGTTTGAGAATTCTCATCTGTTGTAACATTCTTATAATAATGCCTAACTCAACATACTCTAGTAAATGAAACAAGTCCCAGCCTGGCATGGTGGTGCACACCTGTAATCCTAGCACTCCCATGCTGAGGCAGGAGAATCACCATGAATTCGAGGCCAGCCTCGAATAGTGAGTTCAAATCTGTACTACAAAACAAAACCCTGTCTCAAATAACCAAAGATATAAAAATAAATAAATAAGAATAGATCCTTGCTCCATCTTAGCTGTTTTGGCGCTCACAGCTAGTTTGCAGTGCACATTTGGATGGTAGATTGCTCTAAACCAAGTCTCTAAGCCTCCAGTGCTGGTTGTTACTCTCCTCCCTTACCCCCATCTATAGAGTCTAAGTGTGAATTTCATGATTAGAGCTGGACACTCAGTGAATATGTATCTACGCCAGAGAAGGCTAAGTACAGGTGGGGGCAGAACCACAGATGTTTATTCCAAACTGTTCAAGAGGTTGAGGCAGAGAATTGAAAGCTTGAGGGAAGCCTGGACCTCTTAATGATATGCTAACTTGTTTTGAAATTACAATGATGGCTGGGGGTGTAACTCAGTGGTATGCCACTTTCCTAAGATACAGAAAGTCCTGGAATTAATGCCCAGTGTCAGACACACACACACACACACACACACACACATTCCTCATTTTAAAAAGAGGATCTCTAAAACCCTCTTAACAGTTTAACATTTCCACACTGAGACTTCGGATAACTTGTTTAAGTTCTCTAAGCTTCAGGTTTCTCATCTGCAAAGTGAGAGTATAATGGTATGCTCAGGATGAATCAGAGGACAAATAGTTTCTTTGTGATCTTGAGTGACACTGATTTGGTCAACTGTTTCTTTTTGTTCATCTTGGTTTTTTGATACAGGGCCTTCCTACGTGGTTCAGGTTGGCCTTGAACTCCCTACATAGCCCACCCTGGGTGAGAACTCCTGGTAATTCTCTTGACTCAGCCTCCCAAGGGTTTGGGTTACACACATGTGGCAGCTGTTTCTGATGTTAAGTAAGCGCTGCCTACTTTTTAAAATACATAAATAAGAGAATGGATATAAAGTGCTTAGCATCCTGCCTGCACATAGAAAGCAGGTAAACACAGTTAGGTAGAATCTAAAACAAATGGTTTTTTTTCTCTGTAGTAACAGCTGGATCTACACACTGAAGTGCAGACTAAATGAGCTGGTGATCAGTCAAGCTGGTAGAAAGCCAAAGAACATTCAGTAATGTGATGTATCCAGGCACCGGCATTTAGGCTGAGCACAGGTCTTCCTCATGATTACCGAAGCAGCAATTCAGGGAGGATTTCTTCCCATTATTCTAATACCAAGCATAGAATATGATACTCTGAATTATCTATAATAATAAAAGAATGAGCATCTTATCTTTCAGAGGAAAATAATATAATCACAAATTATATGTATGTATGTATGTGTATATGTATGTAATTTGTTAGTGATCTTACCAGGAGCTATAACGAATTTATATCTTTTCACCACGATTCCTAAGGGTTACCAAGATTTAGAATATACTCAGTATCCTAAAAGAGTAATTAAACTGTGCTATTTATATCCCTCCCCTGTGATGTTTCTCCCCAGCTTCTTAAATGTTAGTGTCAGATATGTCACCTACTCTCAGCAAGGCTTGCAGGGCTGGGGATGTAGTTCAGTGGTAGCAAGCTTGCCGAGCATTTATTTGTGAGGCTCTGAATATAATCCACTCCACTGAACAAAAAGGAGCATCAACAAGTAGATTATTATGAAACTGTGTTTTTGCAGCACTTAGGAGGCTAAGGCAAGATCATGGGCTGAAGCCCAGCTGGGGCTTTACAGGAAGGCCTTGTCTGAAAACACAGCAAACCAGGTGGCCGTGATGTTGTACGCCTACACTGCCAATACTTGAGAGGCTAAGGCCAAAGGAGTGCAGTGAGTTCAAGGCCAGCCTGGGCTACATAGAGAGCTCAAAGGTAGGGTGAGCTACACAGTGAGAGCCTGTCTCAGACACAAAATGGAAAAAGACCTGCTGTCGGGCAGAGAGTACGTGTGGAAGAGGTGGTGGCTGCGTTCTCCCCTGTGAGGATACTGGCGCATGCCTCGCTCTGGCCAGAGGGATGAGACTGGCTTCTTAGGACATGCAGGTGGGAAAGACTCTGAGGACCCTGGTTGCCTGCTCCCTAGCCCCAAGGCTGGATGGTCCAGTGTGGAGGCATGGAGGGGTCTGGGCATCACTAGCAAGTGAGTTTGGACCATAGACGAATTGCCACCAGACTCCTGTTCAACCTGCTGGTGCCCATCTGCATCATGTTCCTCAAAAAATGAATGGATGTGCATCACAGTTTCCCCAACATGAGCCTGACCCTGGTACAGGGGATGGTCACCTGGCTGGGCTTGTACATCTGCTAGAAGCTGGATATATTTGCTCCTCAATTCTGCCATCTTCAAAGCTTTCCAGTGGCTCTGAGCTTCTGCGGCTTCATGGTCTTCACCAGCCTGTCTCACTGAAAAGCTATTTTAAAGAATTCAGCTTGGGGACTGGAGATTTAGCTCAGCAGCATAAGTATCCGCCTTGCAAGCAGGTGGTCGTGAATTGGATCCCTGGTACTGGAAAGAAAAAAAAAAAAAGAAGAAGAAGAAAAATTCAGCTTGTGCATCAGTCTATTGTCTGATGAGTATGTGTGGTTTTCTGTTTCTATTTTAAGCATTCTTTGATTTCCAGTTTACAAAAGCAACTTTTACTGTGCTAAGGATAGAGTGCCTCACTTCTACTACACAACCTTGGATATGTTTTGTGTCTAAGAAGCTTCCTCTGGATATGTTTAAGATAACATACAATTATTTTCCAAAAGCCCGAGGAAAATATTCAAAGTGAGGATCATCTGATGTCATCACAGCGAGACTAAGAACTGAATCATTCAGTGCCACATCCAAATTCTTAACTGTAAATAAAACTTGAGGGCAGTGTGGAGGATTATAATAAATGAGTGATGTTTGTAGGGATGCCATGAGAAGATCGGAGGAAGTTGGATAAGAGTATGCATATAAAAATGAATAAAATGCATACTGCTAAAATCTAGAGTGTGGTGGTATTTCCCTGAAGATAATCATCAATGAAAAAGAAAATTCTTGAGAACAGATGTACCAAATGACCGAGGCCGTCTACAGGGACAAACCCAACTGTGCTTTGGAAGAAAACATGTTGTTCTTTGGTTACCATATAATTGGACTCATTTTTTACCCTATGTTAAATGACTTAAGTCTCATCTGTTAAAAATAAAAAGAACCTTGTTAAAAAAAAAGAAAGACAGAGATGGGATGAGGGAGAGGCCTTGCTCTTTATTGTCCAAATTGTGTACTTGTCTCTTGGTTACATTGTGCAAGAAGGGTTTGAGTTAAATGGTCTCCAAGAGCTCTCCAACCCATACTTTTGATGTGGTACTAGGGCTTGAACCCTGAGTTTTTTCACTCAATTTTATTATCAGCACATTCATTTATAGCTTTAATACTTTAAAAAAATTTGACTTTCAAATTAAAATGGTTCAACTCAAAGTGTCCCTTTTCAATAGTGGAGTTGACCTATGCAAAACATTTTTCCTTGCTTTGAAAAAAATTAAATAGTACTTTTAGTATAAAGAGATTTTAAAATGCACTTTAAACTTGCCAACTTATACCAATCATAAAATAGGTTCTTTCCTCTCCTTTCTTCAACCATTCAAATCAGGGGAGACTACTGCAAACTAAGGACCCCACAGGCTCCCATGTGAATAATTACAGGTCAAGGGTAACACGGATCCAGGGTAGTGCAGGAGCTGGGGTGCTTCAGCTGTGCCGTGAGGTAGCAGAGGCAGCAGAACTTCACAGCAAATGCACAGGAGATGGGAGCCTAGGTAAAGCTGTCTCATCTGATTACTGTTTTTCAAGGAAAAAATAAAATAAGAGATAAATCCAAAATAAGAGTTTTAAAAAAAAACCTAGACTTTGGTCCTGTTGGGCTCAAACTTGCCATCCTCCTGCCTCAAAAACTGCTGGGATTTACAGGCATACATTTTCATTACTGCTCCATGGTTCTATTAATCTTTCTATGTAGTTATTTACTCTTCTGTTCAGACATTGTTGTTGCTACAACCTGGAGCAAACCTTTAAGTCCTTGGCAGTGTGCTCCCTCTGGGACAGGGTGCACTCCCTAGTGCCACACCCTTGGATGAGAGAAGAGAAAGGCCACCTAGGGAGTGTCCTCCCTCTGGTGCTAGGGGAGGAGACATTTCTAAGGGAAGAGAGGGTTTCAAGCCTCTCAGTTCCTGTGAAAAGATGAGGGAGAAAAAGAATGGCTGTAGACTGTTAGCCTAATAGTAGGGAATGTTATTTTAAATGCTAAATTCTTTTTTTTTTTTTGTCTTTTTCTTTTTTTTATAGGTACCAGGGATTGAACTCATGACTGCCTGCTTGCAAGGCAGACACTTATGTCGCTGAGCTAAATCCCCAGCTCCTTGAATGCTAAATTCTATAGTACAGAAACTCAGATAAGAATGATTTCATCATTGATCAATTTTTATTTAAGCCTATCCTTACACACAAATCACAAAGAAATGTTCACAAAATTTCCAATTCTTACAACTTTTCATCTTCTTCAGTCTTCTTTCTTCTCTTCTTCTCTGTGTCTCTCTCTCTGTAGTGGTGATGCAGTTGAGACAGGGTCTCACTATGTAGTTCAGGCTGGCCTTAAACTTACTCTGCAGCACGGGCTTGCCTCAAACTCACGATAATCCTCTGCCTCAGTCTCCTGAATGTTAGTATTACGGGTGTGTCCCACCGTGCTGGATTCACCCTCTGTTATAAATCCTACTTATCCTTTCTCATTTTCAACTATAGTCCTTGTTTATCCTAAACAGAAGTATAGGAAAAAACCTTCCTAAAATAATGCATCCTTAAGTAAACATATGTCATGTACTTTGGGGGCAAGGGAGGCTCCGTCATTACCCTTCTGACTATGGAAAACTTAATAAATAGTGATAATAGAAAACTGGGTTACAAATTGGGTATAGTGATACACACCTGTAATCCCAGCACTTAGAAGGCTGAGACAGGAGGATTGCTGCAAGTTCAATGGCAACCTAGGCTACATAGTGAGTCCAGGACACCCTGGGTTATGTGTCTGAAAAAGACAAAGAAACAAAAAACAAAACAAAAACAAAAAAAGAAAATTGGCTTACAAAAAGAATGCTTGGCCTTTTGTTGCCTGGGATGGTGGCAGGGAGGGGGCAGAAAAGGAAAATCAGAGAGGAAAGATGTAGCAGAACCCTGGAGTGAGGTGTACATGTTTAAGAGAAAGCCACTGTCTTCGGAAAAGGTTCCCGAGAAGACTTTGTATGCTGGTGATAGCAGCAGAATTCTCTCAAGAATCTCTAGAATGCTGGCTTCTCCTTCTGTGAAGAAATAGGGCACCATGCCCCAGTCATTCTAGCTAAGAAACATTCCTCCTTTAACTGGTGGGGTATGTGTGTGTGTGTGTATGCTGAAGATCAAGCCCAGAACCTTACAAATGCTAGACAAGCACTCTACCACTGAGCTGCAACCTTCCCTAACCTGGTGCAGGTGTACTTCCAGGCAGCCTTGAAGGTTTCAGTTCAAACGACTTCTACTTGGGGTGCCTTCTCTGATGGAAGCTGTACTGGTAGAGTCCATTCCTTCATCCTCTCGGTTTTCATAGGAATCTCATGCTTTAAGTTCACCACAACACTTGGAGGCGTTCATGAAGCTGTTTTCTGACAGGAGCTCTCAGACCTATGTGTCCTTGTGCCTCATACAGTGCCCGGCTCATACTAAGCAAGAAAGCAGTACAGAAGTGAAAAACACTCATGAGGAATAAAACACTCATAAGGAGGAAAAGAATAGAGGAGGAGGGAGAGAAATGTAGGACCCAACCTTCCCTGGGGGTAAAAAAAAAAGGACAAAAAGACCCAACTTTCCCTGGACAAGAAAAACAAAAAAGCGTTAAAAACAAAACAGAAAAGGGATTGATGGAAAACAGCTCGTCCAAGCCTTGTCCACCTTTTGCTCTTCTCTTAGCCACTTCTTGTGTCTTGGGACCTCACACCACGACTGCTCTCCACAATCCAGTTCACCCACAGGGAAGGAAAGCCGGGTATCTGCTTTCTTCCACCCCTGCCAGACTCTGCTCATTCTTCTTCCACCTTGGGCGCCTCCCTCCATGGCCTCTGCCCTGCTCATCCCTCATACAGTGTTCCCCCTTAATTTCCTGAAAGCCAGTTATGCATCTGAGTTCCCTTTGCTGTGATGGGAACTTCTGCCTCAGATGGAAAGCAAAATGCTGTCAGGGGCAGCCTATGGGGTCTGGGCTGAGAAATGCTAGGCGGTACTAGCAAAATTACCTGTGCAAAAACACTGCCAAGAGGGGTTAGTTACGGCAGGGATGGGAGAGCAAAAAGGAAGACACGCGAGGAAAGAAATTGCTGAACAATTCCTCCCTCATTCCTCAAACTCATGGATGGCCTTCCCACAATTCTCTCTTTCTTTCCTTTTCTCTCTCCCTCCTCTCTCACTCTCTCTCTCTCTATCTCTCTCTCTGTCTCTCTCTCTCTTTCAGGTTTGAAGAACCCCAGGCCTTGAATATTAGAGGAAAGAGCTCTACCACTGAGTTACAACCTCAGTCTCTTTTCATTTTATTTCAAGACAAGGTCTCACTAAATTGCACAAAATAGTCTCAAATTTGTGATTCTATCTCAGCCTCTGGAGTGGCTGAGATTTTAAGCATGTGCCACCATGGATCAGAATACTTCTGGCTTGTATTTTTCTCTTTGATCCATGGATTAGAATAATTTTCCAACTGTCCTCTCAGGACCCCTAAGCTTTCAGGACCTACTAAAGCTTCTGTGTGTGTGTGTGTGTGTGTGTGTGTGTGTGTGTGTGTGTGTGTGTCTCGGACTCTAGGTGATCCTCCTGCCTCAGCCTCTTCTATTAACCCTACTATTCATCTGCCCACTGAGCATCGTGGCCCTCACCTGTGATCTCAGCATTTTGGAGGCTGAAACAAGAGGCAGTGAGGTGGAAGTCAGCTTGGGCTACAGAGTTCAAGACCAGCCTGAACTACATAAGACTGTCTCAAAAACCCAAACAAACAAGCAAACAAAGAATCCCAAATATTTAGCTGCCTCTCTTTCCCCAAAGGTCTTCCCCCAGGAGTTCTGGAATCACTTTCCCTCCATGGATAGCATACCTTTAAAAAGCAGTTTATGAGCTGTCTAGCACTATGTAAAAATATTGCAAATAGTAATCATTCTTTCATAATCCCTGTCTATTTTTCATGATATGTCATATCCCTTCCTATCCCATGCACCGCTACTCCCATCACCCAGCGGGTTTGGTTTGCTGCAGAGCGGGTGCCAAAGCTGTGTGCTGCACCGTAGGCAGTGTCAGGATGCAGGCAGGCATCTCAGCCCGAGGCCTTGGTAAAGTTCCCAGGCACAACCATCGGCCCAGGCCAGGAGAGTAGGCGTGGATAAGGTGGGAGAGGGCGTATGTGCGGTGGCTGTAGCCCCCCAACACCAGTAACTCCCCCTGCAGCACAGCACCTGCAGCGCATACGTGGGGGGATGGCAGGGGTACTAACTGAGTCCAGCTATCAGTCCTTGGTTCATAGGCCTCAAAGCTTAACAGGTCCCCCATCTCACCTAGCCCACCTGCTACATACAACCGCCTGCCCAGAGCAGCCATGATATGGCCAGCCCGAGGTATCCCCATTGGACTTAAAAGTGTTCCTGGCTTCTCAAGTTTGGGGTCATAATGCAGTAATGAGGTCAGATACTGGCCAGCTCCATTGTGGCCACCACTCAGGTACAATCGGCCTTCCAAGATGGCAGCTGCATGGGCAAAGCATGGGGCCGGAAGTGGAGGTGCTGACCTAAGGCGGAACAGGGTACAAGATCAGGCAACTGGCATTTTCAACTCTCTATTGCAAGTGTAGTTTTTCCCCAAATGCAGCCTTTCTCACTTACCTCCAGATGTTGAGCTCAGGATTGTAGGTCTCCACAGAGTTAAGGGCAACACCATTATATAGTCCACCAAGGGCATAAAGCTGTCCATCCAATGCCACCAGAGGGAACAAACTCCGAGCCTGGCACAAAGGTGCCATCTCTTCCCAGTCTTCTTGACTGGGGTCCCACCTAGAACACAGCGACATGAGAGATGGGAAGAGTGATCCTGGGATCCTGTGGTTGTCTGGGTCATGCCCACCTTGAGACCTACTATACTCTGCCCATCCCGAAAGTCTCATACCTGAGAGTTGAAGCCAGAGTGTTGGACTGGCTGTAGAAGTCCTGTCCCCCACACACATAGAGTTCACTTCCTGCCAGGCTTGCAGCCCCATGCCGGAAGCGCCCTGGGGCAGGCAGGGCAGGCAGCATTCCCCACTCCACAGTTCGTACCAGTCCCATGCCGCAGTGGAAGGCCCTGGCCCACCACACTTTTTGAGAAGGCTGTCTTCGGGCCATGTCAGGTCTGAGCTCGTCCCCACCAATCACCACCAGTGCCTGGTCAGGCTTTCTCCACCTCTCTTGACCTGGAACCTCAGCCTCCACCATCAAGTGGTGCAGCATGTCTGGGGGCAGGAATGAGGGAAGCCCAGCTGCCCGCACTTTTCTCAGCTCTCTGGTAGACATACGGCCAAAGCGGACACATCGCAGCAGGGCCTTGGCTTCAGACTCCTGTGTCTCAGGGTTGGCAGCCAGCCAACGCCGTGCAGCTGCAAAGGCCTCAAACTCCTCCTGCACATGAAGCTCATCGCTATCCAGGAGCTCTGCCAGGCAGGCAGCTGGGAAGGAAGGGAAAGCAGGGCACAAAGCCACCGCAGGCAGATGGCTGAGGAGGTAGTGACGAGCGTTACTCCAGAGCCTCTCCAACCCGGGGGTTTCAGCCATGGGGAATAAGGCCAGGCAACGGGCAGGGCTGAGGCCTTGCACCAAGGCCTTCTGACATAGATTCAGGCAGGAAGAACTTTGGTATTGCAGAGCAGCCTGGGCAGCTCTCAGAAGTCCTGGCCACCTTGCCCACACTACTCCAGAGTAAGCAAAAGAGACGAGGAGTCGCAGGTCATGGGAAGACATAGTGCGCAGAGATACCTCTGTTCCTTGGGATTCCCTCATGCCACTCAGGAGCATGGCCCCAAAGAACTCACTGCCGCAGGCCAGGGCTGCTCGATGCACTGTAGGAGACAGGAAGCAGAGGAAGACACATAGTGTGGCAAGGCTGCCACGCAATCCCAACTCTGGGCCAAGCACCCAAGGGCACAGCCAAACCATGGTGTGCAGTAAAAACCCATGGGGTATTTGTGGAATGCAGCTTCCAGGAGCCCGCCCTGATTCCTGATCCACTAGGAACTTTTAAACTAACATTTTGAAGTACCCGGAATGATTCTCATGTTAGTGGCCTGAATATGCTTTAGTTTTTGAGTTCAGGTCAGTTACACTGATTAGTTTGTTGTTGTGTCCTTGCTTTGTCTCACTATGTAATCCAGGCTAGCATTGAACTCACTGAGATTCTCCTGCCTCTGGCTCCCGGGTGCTAGAATTATAGGCATGAACCACCATACCTAGCTGAAAAAAAGTCTTAATGGATCAAATTGAGAAGATGCTACAGACAGCATTTATGAAAAAGCATCACAAAATGAACTGGAAAAAGCAATATGCAATTTATGTAGCCTCTACATACTGTGTACACAATAAAATCTTTCATTTATAATTGTAAAAGCCACTGCCATTAGTCAGGCAGTTAGATTTTACTAGAAAAGGAGTACCACTCAGTAATGACTATAACTCTACAAGGTATGGTGGCACACACTTGCAACCCCAATTATTTGGAAGACAAGAAGGAGGATTCCAAGTTTGAAGCCAGTCTGGGGAATGTAATGAGAACTTGCCTCAATAAAAGTAAGTAAATAAAAAGGGCCGGGGATATAGCTCAGTGCTCCCTTGGTTTAGTCCACAGCCATTTCCAGTGCGATAAATGAATAAGTGAACAAGTTAACAGGGGTATGGATTTGGCTCAGTGGAAGGGAGACTGCTTACTGAGTTCTTACCCATGAACACCTCCAAGTTTAATGTTTGTTATCTGAACCTAAAGACAGCATTATCCACCTAACTAACGTTCATTGAGAAATAAGTGAGGCGCATGTAAAAATTTCTGGCTCCTTTGGTAGAATCTGAATAAAAATTATTCAACTGTAATTTTCCTGGTGATGTCCACTTAACTTTGCTTGGGAGCATTAAGATTCTGGTAAAACAGTAGCAGACCTAGCTTGTTAGGTCAGAACCCACAGTCTATTATAGGATCCATTACACGGGGGTGAAAGGTGAAAGGCACTGTGAGTTTTCCATCTGTTTCTAAGCCTTCCGGTGTACTGAATAGAAGATGCCAGGGGCTTTTGGTCAATCTGCTTGAGTCAGTCACTTTCTGCTTGTTCTGGTTCCATTAACGGTGCCCTTAGCGCCAGACAACTGGCTGGAAATCCCTTGATTCTATGTTGGAAAAAACCCAGAGCCCACAGGATCACTTTAAACCTCTGCAGCCACGGAAAAAAAAAAAAAAAAAAGAAAACAGCTCAACTGCGCCTGCGCAGCTCCGGGTGGGCGGGGCCGGGCTCCCAAAGCCACAACTCTGGTGGCGATCCGAGCACCTGCTGTCTGCACACACCGTTTGGGTAGCGTTTGTGCTTAGGCTCGTGTAACACCTCGTAGACCCTCACCCCGCAGCCGAAAGCCGTCTGCCTCCAGCTCCAGATCACAGCCGACGCCCTCTCGGTAGAGGCGCTCGATGCCGCGCAGGTTTTCCCGCAGCTCCTCCGCTGGGCTGGGCGCCGCTTCCTCCTCCGCGGTGTTTCCGGGACCCTCACGTCTCCGCCGGGCTGCGGCCTCCACCCGGGGCGCGCCCAGGGCCTCGGCCGCAGCCAGCACATCCCCCCGCGCGGCGGGGCCCAGCACCCCCTGGTAGGCGAAGGTCAGCACGGCCTCCCACCCTCCCGGGGCCACATCCAGGCGGAGTCCGCCCCGCGAGCCCCCGCCGGCCAGCAGCCTGCCTCGGAAGAGGCTGCTGACTGCCGCCAAGATGACCCGATGCACCCCGTAAACCCGCCCCGCGACTGACACCTCTTCGTCCAGTAGCAGCCCCTGCTCCCATAGCCGCTGCGCTTCGGCGAAGAACTGACTCGGGTGCTCCTCGCTGCGCAGCCCCTCAGCGACAGAGTCTGCATCGTTCTCATCCCTTTCCTCCTCTTCCTCTCGTGGGGAAACTGCAGAGGCAAGGTTTCCTGGGACCCGGGGTCTGAGGCCAGGCTGTTCCGGAGGAAAGGAAAGGCAACCAGAATCCTCCTCGGGGGAGGCGCCCCAGGAGGGGGTTCTTCGGGCAGGCACGGGAAGTCCGAGGCCGTCCTTCTGCGTGGGACAGGAGACACACTCCCGGTTAGAGCCTTGAGGTGCGGCCTCGCAGACACTCATGGCCCAGGTTCGCTGGATTGCTGCAGGTGAGCAGGCAAGAGAGAAGTGTCTTAGCTGTGCCCCGGAAGGTCAGAGGACCGTGTCTCCAGATCTTGGAACTGCCAGTCCTTCCCTCTGCAACTTCCAACCTCCTACCCCCACCCCAAAGTCACCTCCCCAGACTGGAGTCGTGGGCCATACAGTGCCAGCTATGGCATTCACTGGGCCCAGCAAAGCATGCAAGAGGTGTGTGTGGAGAGAGAGACTGTACCCTAGGGCCAGACCCCCCCCCCCCATCTGGCCCCCATTTTTTGAGTGCCCCTCAGGAAACAGCAGCCACCTGCCGGCTCTCACTTGAGTGTTCCCTCGGCTTGGGATTGTAGTGTGCAGACCAAATTCACCCGTTCCCAGTCGGTGACCCTACCTGGCTAATTATAGCTGGAACTGGAGGACTAAACACTGGGCTCCCAGTGCCCAAACTCTGACACCCAATATCTTGCGATGCATCCTGGGATCACTCCCCCTCCTTCCACCTGGAGTGCTGAATGAGGGAAATTCAGGGAAGAGGAAGCCAGGAAGAAGGTAAGGCAGTCCAAAGGCTGTTAGGGCCATACTCCCTGGCCTGTAAAAGGCTGATCCAGGCTGGGTAGGCTAACAAAATAAACACACTTAATGGGAGGAGAAACATGCTTGTTCCTTATGATTAAGGTGTGAGAGCTTTTCTGGGTATGGGGTGGGATGGTGAGCTGACCAGCCCACCACTCCTGTGGCTTCAGGGGTTGTCTCTGTTTCCCCACTTAACAACCCGGGTACCCTGCCAACTTGGGTATATTCCCTGGGTGAACCTAACCAACAGCCATACTTCTCAAAATGGTTTGATTGAGACAGACTGGAGAGATAATGACCAGCTTCTGCAACCTTTCCTCCAGGCCAGACGTTTCAGAGTATTCTTGTGGCTTTCCTGAAATGAGGCAAAAGAGCCGGCATCTTGAATGCACACCAGAAAGCTGAGGAACTACAAGTCAGAGATTACAGCACTGGCTGACCTCTGTCTGCCACCCATCTCTAAGGACAAAGACTTTGGAACTTTCTACAAGTCCTGTGACAACTCCATGGCCCCAGGACAGCTCCAATATAGCCAGCTATTTCTAGAGAGTCTGCGAGGCTCCACCATGGTAACACCTATGCTAATTCCCAAAGGTAAGACAGTGTATCTGCTGTGTCACTTTGCGTCCCCCATCAAAACCCTGGGTCTGCCCTTCCCTGATAGGTCAGGAGCCAGCTCCTGGTTGGGACACACTGGCTAGAGAGGGCTTTTGGATTTCCGTCAGTCTGTGATGTCTTAGGGAATGGCTTAACTTCCCCATGTGCAGAGGACTGTGCCAAGCCACTTGCCTGAGAAGATGACCCAGAGAATTCCTGGGCCAGGACAGGCGAGGCCCCAAATTGCTTTGGCCAGGTCCCTGGAGTCATGGCAATGGTCTAGTGCTCAGGGTTTCCAGGTTGAGAATATAGATGGGTGAGCGAACTTTGTTCCAGCAATCTTGAGGAAGGGAGAAGACTGGAGGAGGCATGGTGTGTGTGCTGAAGACCTTCCTGCTTTATCCCTCTGCTCCACAGATCTGCTGCATGTTGAACACTTGGGGTGTCATCCTTTATCTGTGGCTGCCTTGAATTACTGCTCAGATGAGGATAGGTATGAGTTCAGGGCTCACATGGCTCGTTATCCTACTCTCAGCCTCATTGCCTTGTCCTTCTCAGCCTCTCTATCAGTGGCAAAGGCAAGGCTGTGAATCTGCTTGCAGCCCTATTCCTTCTCAGAGTACCCAGTCCTGACAGGATTCATGAGATCACAGACTAGCTCCTCCTCCCTCTTCTCTCAGGTAGCCTAATCTTCTTCAACTCTTGCTGCCTGGATCCGGAGCTTGGCAGTTCTATGAGATCATCTTTGCCTTTGCCAGCATTACTGTGGTTATGCACACAGTGGGCTTTGCAGAGATCCTCCTCGATTGGCTCTGGGTAAGTAGTGTCCATCTTTTCTTTTTGTGCTTTTCTCTCAAGTTTGCTGACCTTGTAAGCTGCACTGTGGCTCCAGCTTGGACAAATCATTTCAAAAGTCTTACAGAGACACTGAACCAGCCAACAAGGACTGTAATACCTGTGGTTAGCCTTCTAGGAACACGGGTGTAGCAGCTGAACTCGAATCCTGAAGACGAGATATGCGTGGTGAGCTTGGTGATAGTGACCATCTTTCGGGGCATGGCACTGGCCAGCAGACAGTGGCAATCTAAGACAGGTACCAGAAAAGTGAAGTGGGGATGAGGAAGCCGAAGAGATGGTGATGAGTACTTGATCAAATAGTAATGGGGGAAGTTGTGTGATGGATTAGGAGTGCAGCTGTTGCCTGAAAAGGCCCAGCTAAATATGGGAAGAGCTGATGTAGCAGAATTCCATGGAAAGTAACTTGAAGTTGGATGATTTTGCTTGGTGAGATTCCACATCCCAGCTCAAGCAGAAAGGGAAGCGGCCTATTCAGAGGACCTGGTGGGATGAGCACTGGGTGAGACTAACAGGAAGACACCAGACAAGGAATGACATACACTGCTCTCAGATGTCTACAGTTTTAAGATCCACCTCTGGCATGAGCAGGGATGCTTGGCAGCTGGAGGGAAGGACAATGATGCCCATCTGGCCAGGACCCCTGTATGGGAACAGGTTAGCTGGGAAAGGGAGAGGGCTGAGAGGCGCATCAAGACGGGACAAAGAGAATGAGGACTTGGAACAGTTATCACTGTCCCTCCCTCTCACATTCTTTCCTTTCTCTTTTTGTCAGGTTTTCCTCTCTTTTTGGGTATTTCAGACCCAAATTATCTTCTTGTTCTTGATCCCTACCTCTTTGTCAACACCTTCTGGGCACACTCATCCCAACAAACCCCAATCAATTAGCCACTGGTTTGAGTACCAAGGAACTGGGCTGAAAAATTCATGCCCTTTGCAGGAGGGGCCTTATCCAGCCCAGGAAAATGTCTCAGAAAAAAGAATCTCTGATTTCGAGTTCTGTTCCCCACTTGCAAGCTGCCCATCAGATCAGTTAAAGTAATATAAGTCTCAATTCTCTAGTTTTTCCCCTTCTCTCCAGTCTCACCTGTCACTGACACCAAATGCACTGAGAGATGGAAGTTTGGCTTTGCATGAATCTTGGCTTAGCAGAGAAGACAGGAAGTGCTCCCCTCTGTTCTTCACACAGGAAGTGTTTTCTGGCGAACCTGGTCCACAGTGATGGGGTTCTGAATGCAGTTTCTTTGATATGTTTTTCATATTCTTCTCCTCAGCCACTGGAATCCTGGCCAGAGCATTTTTGGAGACTTCAAGGTGAGAAGGCTGTCCAGTGATAGGGTATGCTCCTTGCTGCCCCCTCTCATGTTCAATGTTTGTTCCTGGGACCTTGCTAAAGTTATCCCCAAGGGGACCCTCTGTGCCATTATGTGAACCACACTCTCCTAGCTGGGCATCTCTGTAACCACTGGTAAGGTCTCTTCCTACCTTCTGTGCAGAATGACCTGGGGCCCTGGTTTCCTCAAAAGACAGAGTATAGATGATAAAAACAGCAAGATGCATTCATCAGCCAATTAAAAGTAGTATACAGATTTTAGATCCTTCTGAAGGGTAAAGAAACCCTATTTCTCATTTCCTGACGACCAAATTTTGCATGATCCTTCCTGCTTCCTGCTCAATCTGAGACTGATTCTCTGCAGCCGAAAGGCCTTTGGAAATGTGATGGCTTCAGAAATCAGGTCCAACAGCTCCTGTCAAGGAGATATCTGAAACCTACCTACCTTTTGCAATACTCTTCCTGCTTCAGTCTACACCTTGGAGCAAAAGCTACAGGTGAGCCACAAGAAGGTATCCAGAACAGGGTGGCAAGTGGGGCAGTTTTCCCAGAGAGGCATCTGATAATGGTGCCACCCAGTATCTGCCTAGTCATTCTTCCTAACCACATAGTCCGAGTGGCACATGTGTCTTCATGAAGTACTATGGCGGTATTTCTAGGATGTCACCCTCAGTCATGTAAGAGTCAGAAAATTTCAAAGTACAGGGGCATAGATTCAAAGTACAGGGGATAGGCATGCTTCCATGAGTAGATAAGCTGTTCCTCACAATTCCTTCCTTACCAGGAGCCTACCTGTGGTCCCTGGACAGCCTGTCCAGGGGCCCTGTATACGTCTTAGCTGGAGACACTGTCTAGGGACCTGCTATTCCCCATGGCCTTCATTTGTGGAACTCAATAGGATGCCTTCACCCATACTGCCAGTCAAAGTCATAGGAGAGGAGACTGATTCAGGAAGAAGACTTTTAGTTTCCTTTTTCTTTCTTTCCTCTTTTCCCTTTTTGTGGTGCTGGACAGGAAGTCAAAACCTCACATGTGTCAGGAACTGCTTTACCACCAAACTACATCTTAGCTTGATTTTAGTTTCTGGGCTCCACAAACTTGGAGGTTACCCTTAAGAATTCTCAGGCAGGGCCTGAGGATTTAGCTCAGCGGCATAAGCGCCTGCCTTGCAAGCAGGCAGTCGTGAGTTTGATCCCTGGTACTGATAAAAATGAAAAAGACAAAAACAAAAACAAAAAAAAAGAATTCTCAGGCAAATTTTCTGAAAAGAGCTCCCAAGGAAGGAACTCCCCTACTAAGCAATGTGAGCTGGGGCTACAGGAGTGAAGCAGGTCTTTCTTCCAAGATCCACTCCACCTCATATTAATAAATCAATACCTGAGGGTGTATAGTAATATAGCTGCTGCCCATTCACAAAATCAACTCCCAAGCATAGACAGAGATCACTCTTATTCTCAAACACAGTCAAAGAGACAAATTTAATCTCTGCTTATGTCCCACTCTTCTTCCACCCTTATTTTTAATTTTAAACTTCCATCTCTCAGTGCATTTTTAATGGATGTGTCTGTCCCTCACAAATCAAAAAGTATACACAGCCACTTCCCTTAGTAAAACATAAGAAATTAACTTT